TATAAAACAAAGTCGCTTTCTGCCGTCTGTCTGTCTCTATGTATGCTTAGATCTTTAAAACTACGCAACGGATTTTGATGCAGGTTTTTTTAACAGATAGAGTGATTCTTAAGGAAGGTTGATATGTATAATACAAACATATTGTACCTGTGCGACGTCGAGGCGGGTCGCTAGTTATTCTATAAAAGAAAAATTTAATTCCTTACTTTTGTGACAATAAATCTTGTTTTTTACCATCACCTGTCGGCGATTTTCCGAGAGCGTTTACATCCTGTATCTAAATAGGAGAAGAATAGATGGAAGAAGGAAGAAAAATTAAGCGCATAAGACACTCCATGGGTTAACGCATCTGTTGTTGGGTGATTTAAAAAAAGTCATAGTCATTATCCTTAAGCCCAAGTTAACAGTTTTGCTAATTCAAATATAAATTGAGCCGTGTCACTGCTCTCACCTAATCAAATAAAAATACAGATGCTAATAAGTTACCGCAATGCTTAACAACACGGGAGGATAATGATATGTTAAATAAAAGTTTAAGTTTTTCGAAGAAACACCCTGTTGCGGGCAAAAGGTAGTTCATTATAATAAAAATAGATACAAACCATATTCTCCCATAGCTTGTATTTGCTCCACAGTATAATGTGAAAAATGACATATACTGCCAAATTTACATTCTCCGCTAGCAAATCTTACACATGGCTTCTTTTTACTTTCTTCAACTAGTATTGTCTCTATATCTGAAAAGTCATATAATTAACATTAAATAAACAAACACATAACAAAACATCACACCTATTATCCCCAAAGAGATAGGAAGAGGTGCACATTATGACACTTAATGCCACTGTACAATGTAACATCCACTTTTCACTATATGTTATGAGTCCTATGTAATAGGGGGTGAGCCTAATGTCATATACCGGGCACAATTCCTGACCCCGTGCTAACATCTTAAAAGTTACTTAAACTGTCAAACACCAAGCGGTCACCGGTGACCGCAACCTATTGTTCTTTAATTGTGTCTATAAATACGGTACTCGACGAGTTAACTACTATGGACACGAAATAATTGTTCATACCTATTGCTTACTAACCACTATCAACACAGATTGGAGTAAAAAATAAGATTTTTATTATTGACTAGTTTCTGTCTGCATTCCCTTGCTTCTTATTTAAACTGTCAAACACCGCGAGGACACGGGTGACCGCAACCTATTGTTCTTTAATTGTGTTTATAATGACGGTGCTCAAAGGGTTAAATATAGATTATGGTCTAGATTAACAATTCTAAATCATTCCAAATTACAACTCAATCCTTTCAGCCGTTTTGAAGTGATTCAGTAACACACAAACGCACAAACTTTAGCATTAATTATAATATTAGTGAGACTTATTTTATTTATACCTTTAAACTGATGGTAGTGTTCTTGAACGAGCCTTTGATGTACTAATCCTTTGTTATGTGTCTTCACAATAGCCGGAGCTGCTACCATTACCTTGTTGCAGTAGTCACAAACATATCTCTTCCCCATCTTTATGTTTTAACTGCAAATAATATATTCATGTAAGGAGCTGTTTCAAAACCCTAGCCCTTACCATGGGCAAGTCGACTAAGGGCATAGGTAGGTCCATATTTTATCGAGAGCGGGCTGTAGTTATGACGAATAATATTTCTAGCCTAAAATATGATATATTTTTGGTCCTTTAGCCATTTTTTACAGTAGGCTGTTGTTGAAACTACCTACTTAATACACATATAATTATGCTACCTCTTAAAAATATCAGTTTTATCAATAAGGACGATTATTACTACCTAGTGAAAGTGTCAAAACCTTCTTCATTTATGACTGACGGCAGAATTATATATCTTAGTTGGTACACAGCAACTTTTTTCAATAAAATTCAGCAAATTCAAAACAAACAAAATCACTTCATAACATTTTAGAAAATCTGTCACTGTATGACTGTCAGTCAAGTCAATCATGAGATGTCAATGTCAATTACCTAGCGATTGCGTTTCGTTTCAGATAAAACACCAGTTTAGGTGAAGATGAATAAGATTTTACTATTCCATGAAGGTAAAGCATGCTATAGCTTGCAGCTAATAAGCATGCAATAATATATAATATTAAATATTAAAAAATAATATAAAAATCCACATTAAAAACATTTGTCGAAGAGAAAGATGTGAGCGATATGTTGCAGTATAACAATACATTCTTCATCGTGATTGTTTATTTTAGCACATTGCACGCGTTTACTTGTTCACAAGCCTTCTTCAACGGCGTATCATATGTTCCTATTGGCGATGCAAAGATTATCCGCGCGGCACGCCACTAGCGGTGAAATTTTGAAGTTGTCTAAGAACGACACTTTGCTTTCGAGTTGAAGTTATTAAGTTTACACATAATCAAATAGACCACGATTACATACAGAAATCTGTTTTTAATAAAAGCAGAAACACAAAATGTTATTGGGTTCCTCAATGTAATACTTACGGAGATTCGGTAATAAGTTTTCATTTATTTCCAAAAGATAAAATTATGAATGAAATAAATTTTCTTCCTGTATGGAAAGAGGAAAGATCAGATGTAAAGCAATTTATTAACCCTCTCAGATTTACTCAGCAGTGTTATATATTTTGTTTCTTTCTAACCCACTACTTTCTTAAAGCAGGTTTGTATGGAGCACTACGTAATTTTCTAGTAAACTAAAATTCGTATTATATTTCTGACCAGGAAACATCGTGCACCAATTCTTTTTTATCTTTTGTAAATCTGCCCTTCGAAACCGTGGGCAGAAGGTAGTCCATGAACAAAATGTAGTCAGTTATTTTTTCTTTAAAATTTCTGATTATGATGCAACTAAATACTATTATTAGTCCTCGAAAAGAGTTCCCTATTGGCAGTCAAAGGCTTAAGCAATATAAGGAGTTTTTTTGTGTAGTATTTTCATGAATCGGGTTATATTAGCGAAATTTTCAAACGGTTTCGTTTTTTCTCTTGTATTAAATATAGCCTATGATCATCATCGGTAATGTAGGATTCCAACGGTAAAAGAATTAGTAGTCCGGTAGTATACCGGACCAATTTGAAAAAACGGAGAAGATTCCATTCAAACAAACAAACAAAAAATAACATCTTTCCTCTTTATAAGTACTATTAGTGTAGATAGTGTAGATGAAGATGTTGAAAACTGTCAGTGTCGTTCTTGGACAGCTTCACAATTTTGACACTAGAGGCGCTAGTTAGAATCTTTGCATCGCCAATTGCTCTTAATTGTGGGTCCATGCAGTCTTCTTAAACTTGGTCAGCACTGTCTTATTTAATTTAAAAGCCGAATGTTTTTATTATGTAGTTTTATTATTATGTAGGAATGACCAATAATTATAATAACTCAGAGCGTAAAAATTGTTGTTAACAAATTGTAAATGGTTTATACGCCCAAACATGTTAAATGCATTACCTACACATAGTTTAAAATCGACGCGACGTCGTAAATACAAAGGCAGGTTACACGTTTGTATAAACCATGTTAATTGCAAGAAGCACTGGAGGTGAGTGATGTACTCACCGTGATGATTTTTTTATGGTATAAGCCGGTAAACAAACAAACGGATCACCTGATGGTAAGCAATCGGCGTCGCCCATGGACACCTGGAACACTATAGGCGTTACAAGTGCGTTACCGGCCTTTTGGGGATTACGAGTTTGAGAATCGTTGGGGATTCAGGGATTGGGGAAGAGGAGGGTAATTGTTTATATAAAAAAGCTGACACAGCGCTGAATACTATTATCAGTCCTTGAAAACCCTTTTTGTATTTAATTTTCGTTTTCGAGGCCAAATCCACTAAAGAAGTTTGCCGGTCTCCTTTGATTTAGATTCTACAAGGTCCGTAGATATAATACACTAGCCACTCAAACGTCCGGGCCAAAAAATTATTTTATGAACTATCCACTATAATTATTTTATGAAACAATAAAATTATCCAACTTAATGTCACATTCATATTGCCAGAAATCACAATCAATCTCCCAAAGTATGTGATGCGTCAACTGTTTATATTGCAACTCCGCTGTGGAACATTAGCATCATGGTGATTCAACAAGTTTGAAATAATTTAAATAATTTATCACCTAATTTGTAATGTTACGAGATAATGTGGAAAGTATTGAAGATTTAATAATCAGTTGCTAACTTTACATGTCAATTGGATACATGAACAATTTGCCTTTACAGTACATAGCCAGTAAAAAATACAACCCCGTACCGCACCTTTTTTAAGGGGGGAAAATCATTGAATGACTCCTCCCGCCTGTGTGAGGCGGGAGGGAGTGTAAGAATCTTACTAACTAAAAACCACCCCGTTCCTTCTCCTGCACGTCGAGCCGGAGCCCCGGTAACCCGCTAGGTTCTCCGCGACTCCGAATCGGCATCGGCCCTGTTGGGCCCCGTACCGCACCTATTGTGGCCTTTTCTGTGTGTGAAATAAAACCGTTCTATAATAAAAACTTAACAAGTAAATTGCTAAAATTTAAAATGTATTAAAGTCTTAAACTGAAATGAAAATACGGTTCATCACTTTTATTATATTTTAATACATTCTTCGTCCATATGGTAGATAATTATCAGAATATTGTCTTTGAGAACTAGAAAAATCGTTAAATGATCTTCTTAGGGGCTGAGGGTGATTTGAAGCTTCGGCTAATTTTTGAAAAACATTGAATTTGTTTGGAGTGGCGATTTGATGCAAGGGGGGCGCTTGCGTCGTTATTTTCCTCACTGGGGTGTAGGAATAGGTGTTAGTATTTGGCCCATAGTCATTGTAATCATCCATCATTTTTGTATCTTCATACCGAGGTACTGAAATTACTCTAGTTTCCGTTTTTCGCTGCTTGTGAAAATGTTCCTGCCCCATGTTTATGTGAGGAGAAATGTGAGGGAAAAACGAGCGTCCCGCCAACCGCTCTAACAGTGAAACCCCCGGCTGCATTGGATACAGAGACGGGGAGAAAACGATTCCACTTCTAGTCAAGACGGGTCGGTACTGAGGTACTGATACATCACCGAATCTTCTCATAGGGCCTGGTTCTGAAAAGGAAATTAATTGTAAAATATTAATAAAGCTTTGTCCTAGACAAATAAAGTCCAATTTTATTGAACAGTAAGAAAATATCACATCGCAAAATCCATCAATCGAGACGTAATTCTCATTTATTACGATCTCAATTTTTGTGAAAATATACTAAGGTTGCAATAGTGCGATTTTGTACACACCAATTGGATATCGAAGCTCGTATAAGCGAAAGAACTCATTCCGAAAGATAACACTCTTGAATAGTAAGTACGTAGTTTCCAGTTCTACTTCGTTTCGATACTTCATATTAATTGTTTACAGAATAATCGAAACCCCATGCGTTGATGGAACCAAATTCAAGTGTGCATTAAGGTTCATACTGATCTCATTTTGTCAATTTCAAAATGAAGAACAAAATTAGGTAAAAATAAATTTGTCTTGAGACGTTCTTACCATAGGTAATGATAGCTACTAACTGTGGGTAAGAAGTTCAAAGAGCCTAGTAATTACGTACTAAAATTCGAATAAATAAATAAATAAATAAAAAATTAGACAACAACAATTCCCAATATCCATTTTAAAAGTGTAATGTAGTAATGTGCCATTATATTTAGTATTCTATGTTGTATATAGTAAAGCAAAATATTAGTTTTTACTCAACACTAAAATAATGTAGCATATAAATACTATTTACCCAAAATTGATGTATGATCATCGTGCGCTACGTAGTTTTGAGCATGCATGAACCTTCCACCAAATTGTGCACGTCTTTCAGGCTGCCTTTGCTCTGGTAACTCAAAACTTCCACTAACTTTCTTATCTAAATGTCCTTCTGTGCTAAGCTCTTCAAGGTCACCTTCGATACTAGTTTCTGCACGCGGTACATTTCCTTCATTTGAAAATTTCTCTCCTGAGGCATCAGATTTCTCTGCACTTCTCCAATCATTATTTTCAGCATTAACATTATCTGCTTGACTTTTTTCATCATGGGCATCGGTTTGATTTATACCTTCTTTATTAATGTTAGATTCCTTTTTACTATGTTCGTCATTTTGCATTTCTGTGAAAGTGTCAGCAGGTAAAGATAACTCTGTGATGTTATCCTCTGGGTTTTCCAACACTGTGTCAGTAGAGTCATCAAAAATCTTGCCATACCTTGTATTTGCCTCAGTTGTATCGATGTTTCTCATCATTTCTTGCTGTAAAGCAGTATCTGTATCATCTTCTTGAAGTTTATCCAAATCATGAATATCAGTTAGGGTGGGTATATTTGTTACTGCATCTCTTTGAACAACTTGTATTGAATCTGATTCACCTCCATCGTCGTTATTATTAGCATTTCCGTTATTATTTGTTGTTTCTTCTGAATTTGCCTATAAAAATTGCACAATTAAAATAGGGAAGAGAATAGTTTGAAATAAAAGAACATCTTCAGATTAAAGTCATTGGTTAAGTAAATCAAAAGTATTTTATGGAATAGCAGCCAAATAAACAAACGCAACACCAGAACAATCACAGGTACGTTGCCGGTTAATTATTTACTATTCATAAAAAATATAACGTAGTTTATTTATACACTACCTTGAATAGTAATTTTGACTAAACAAAACGAATGTACCTAGGTAAACATAATGTTAATAGTACATAATAAACATAGGTACGCTATTATTAAAATTACCTTTGCAATGTTCAACGAATTGAATGCAAATAAAACAAGCAGGAGTGTCAATAATCTCGTCATCGTAACATAGTTTTGTACAAATAGCCTGGTAATACCTTTTGAACTAAATATTGTTGCAGACTAGCATGATTGTTTCACGATGCATGAAATCAATTTGCTAAGTAAGTGTTTACGACAACCGAACATAATTCGAAAGCTATTTACACTCACTCATTTTTATGTTGATTAATTTTCATGGATATTTAGGTAGGTACCTCGCCCATGTTGGGAGGCTTCATTTGATGACTTCAACCTTCAAAAACTAAGTGTCTAAGGTCATCTTTCTACCTTGTGACTTGTGAATGGATATATGTATATGGTACATGACGCCAGAAATTTTCTGCTTCATCAGCCATTACTTCTTCGTGCTAAGTGTCCCGCCCATTGCCGCTTCAGTTAGGCTCTTCTGTAACCGTCAATTTATACCTTCGAAGTGAGTTCGATCGCATTATTGCCCGTCATTGGTCGAGAGTCCCACAATTAATGACACGGCAAACCGCAACCTAACCTATCAGTTGGGGCTAGAATTGGTGCCAAAGGTTTTGATCTTCAAAATATACTGGTTGTTTAATCTGCGGAAAGATCTTACAAAGCAATATGTCACAGATGGCGGCCAAGTGGAAACCATAGTAATTCTTCTTCTCCTCTTATATAATCTTCTGATTCACTTCGTTGCGGGAACCAAGACAGTTACTCATGTCCCTGGGACGCACCGGACTTCAGTGTTCCGGTGTTTTCATGGTTGTATCTGCTGTAGATCCTGGCTTACAGGAGTTGCAGCGGTTTTGGGAGGTTGTGGCGCGCTTGTCCCTTTAAAAAAAAGATGGCGGCCAAGGGATAAAACTTTAGGTTAAGCTTCTACTGACCTCCACACATGGCCCAAAAAATAAAATTGCGTCCTCTCTCAAATGCAAACGCATGCAACATTTCAATGGACTACAGCTCTCCTGAAAAGTGCTTATTTTATACATGTCCGTATATACTTTGCTGCCATCACAGAAAAATAAAAAACCAGGAGATGTGGCATGGGGGCGGATGGCGCGTATCAGCGTGCCGCGGGATCGAAATTTATAAGTCAGGGCATCCGTTACCACATGTAGGTACAAGTATTTTACAATATGTGCCGTCATGCTGTTGGCACTATGTATCTGGGCAACCGGCTGCCGCGCAACGTGTCGCAAGTTCGATTCCCGCGCGTGTCAACGGTTTATTTATTTACTAGTTTATGTACACAAACACTGCCTCATTGGCCTAGTGTTTGCAAGTGCGACTGCCGTGCAAGGGGTTTCGGATTCGATTCCCGGGTCGGGCAAAGTATTACTGGTTTTTAAAAAAATCTCTGTAGTAGCACGGAATCTGGAACTGTGCTCGGTATATGGCAATAGGCTCACCCCCTGGACTTTGGACTCAAAACATAAATAGTGAAAAGTGGGCGTTACATTGTACAGTGGCATAATGTGCACCTCTGCATACCCCTTCGGGGATAAAAGGCGTGATGTTATGTTATGATGTAACTACACAAAGAACATAAACAATACACAGGGAAAAATAAATAACAATACAAAGGTATGTACATAGGTAGGTACTGCATATTCCTTAAGGGATTTCTTCCTGCAGCCCTGCGAGAGGAGAAATAAATACATCAAATGACATTGTCTGTAAAAAAACAGGCAGAGCAAGAGAGAGATTTACTATCTCGAATCCGCCAAGTCCCGACAGCACACAGTGCTAACTGTTTAGTGGGAGTAATTTGTTTGAATGCTAGCTGGTAGTCGCATATCTAGCAAGCACGGCTCCGGCACGGCTCTTTGAGGCATGGCGTTGTTTCCGTTTTGCCCACAGCTAGTCGCCAGCGGGCTAACGGTGCGCCAGCTGCGAGGTGGAAGCTTTTTTTTATTACCACAAGTATAGTCAAAAAAAGGTAACCGCGGCTCCGGCTCGAAGTGTGAAGGAACGGGGTGGTTTTTAGTCAGTAAGAGTAGGACACTCCCTCCCGCCTCACCCGAGCGGGAGAAGTCATTCGATGATTTTCCCCTAAGTAAAAAAAGGGCATATGCTGCAATATAATAAAGAAGGAGATATGGTTTAAAATACGAAATGGACGCAAAACCACATGTGGGTTCTCAATAATACTGATAAGATATATATATTTTTTTATACTTAATAGGTCGAAGTTTGACCACTATCTCACCTGGTGGTAAGCGATGATGTGGGCGATGATGTGGCCGACGATGGAGCACGCCTACCTATGAGCAACCTGATCACTCGGGACTTGACACCCAAGTCATATTTGACGGAAAACACAGATTCTGGCAAGGAATTCCATTCCTTTAGCGGTTCGCATGAGGATGCTTGACGCGAAAGGCGTCTTGCGATTGGGTGGAATGTCCACCACATAAGGGTGGCGCCCCGCCGTTCGTCTGTTGGTACGGTGGTGAAATGGACTAGGGGGAATAAGGTTGTGCAATAATTCCCACGCACGCTTTGAAGCCGAGCCTCCACAAGCGAATTGTCATTGATGAGCCTCTTGGCGCGCCTCTCGATGGATTCGAAGGCTTCTAGCTGGGTCGGGTCGGGTGAGGCGGGAGGGAGTGTCAGACTTTTACTTACTAAAAACCACCCCGTTCCTACTCCTGTACTTCGAGCCGGAGCCCCGGTAACCCGTTAAGTTCTCCACGGCTCCGCGGCTCCGTATCACCTCAGCTTTATTGGACCCCATCTGTTGTGGTCTGATGTCTCTTTGAGGCGCGCGCAGAACTCGGTCTGGTTCTGGTCCGCAGCCCCGTGTTTACGGTGGCTGGAGATCGTCCCGCGATCCCCGATGGCCGGAGTGTACTTCGCGACGGCTGGGTTGTGTAGGCCGGATTGTGTGTAGTAGTAGTTTAGCTGGCATGACTGCTTTGCAAAAGGAGGAGTCGGCATCCCAGTCCGCTCTGCATCATGAACCGGACTAGGGTCGGACGGCAGAGGTCGCCGTCGCCGATCACATCCCTGAGGGCATGCCGATGCTCAAACCCACGCAGGGCATTCCCCTACTGTGTGTTCCATCGTGTACTCAGGGTGGTCCTCGCAGTGATGACACCCGGGCGTTTCCTCCCGCCCTATCAGATACAGGTACCTGCCGAAGCTCCCATGTCCGGTGAGGACCTGCGTCTGGCGGTAGGTGAGGACGCCGTAGCGTCTCTCAAGCCACTCCTCACAAAGGGGACTTACCGCTGCAATGGCAGCGAGCCCTATCAGCGTAAGGCTTCTATCGATTTAAGTCTTGGTTAAATATTTTAAGGCGACAAAAGAAGTAATAAAGAGGGTGAACTTTATGGCCAGGCCGTAAAGAATAAATAACCAAACTTTTTCATATTTCGTGACTTTACTTACTTTTTTCTAGAAGAAACATTCTAGGCAATTGTTTAAATATTGTGTCAGAATAGTTTGGATTTCGAGAATAATTTTAGAAGACGTTTTTACACATTATAATTTTTTCTACAGGGTTTAGGAAATGGTGAGTTGCCGATTCATTTTATTTAATATGTTATTGTGTATAAAATCGTTAACAGCTTAAGATGAATGTCCAGTCGTTTAAAAATTGGATAACCTAAATGCGATCCCAAGCCACTAGCTGAGCGTAGGCGTGATTGTGCACTATACAGAATTTGGAATTCTTCGCCAGCGTTTATGTTTCCTGAAGGGTACCGTGGTGTCTGTCGACTAGGTGGCCGCACCACCTGGCGAGATGGTAGCTAAACGCCGATCCATAAAATATGAAGAAAAAAATAGATTAACTTCCAGTCCAATAGTAACTTTACTCGTTTTGGGATCTCGGTTTTTACAGATGACGTTTAATATTTTGATTGAAGCTGTTTAAGTCAACTTGCATACGCGTTGTCGTTGCGCCGCCTCTGCGTCTGCTCCCGCCTTATTATGTATTTTGTGTGATAATTATGAAACTTATGATGTAGATATTTTTATTTTGTTCCACTAGGGTCCTAAAAAACCGCCTCCTCCACCCGGAGTGAGCGCCAGTAGACATTTTGTGAATCTAACTTCAACACAAGCAGACGAAGACTCCTACGACTATATCAAAGCAAGAACCAATGCCAAATTAACCAGGTAATTACTTTCGTTTATAAAAACATCGGACCCAGGTTAGTGATACTTTTAGTACATTATAAATCCTAAAATTATGACGAAATGCCTAAGGGGTAACAGGGAGGGAAGTAAATACGTGTTTTAAGGGTCTGCAAGGCGCATAATATAATGCCCCAAGTGTTGCAGGCGTACATAGGCCACGGTAACCGCTTACCATCAGGTGAGCCGTGAGCTGTATTTGCCACCGTCGTGGTATAAATAATGCATATTGCACAGGCACACAGGGCGATCGTGAAATGTCTCTAATCACCTTTGCGTTTTGATCAAAGCCTCCTCCAGTCTCCAGTTGTAAAATGGCGTCAGTTGAGACAAAATTCAAAGGTATTTTTTTAAAAAAAAACGTCGTATAAGCACGCCACCCTCTCTGATCCTACTCCATTCTTTGTACGCGCGTTTGTATAGCTTCAACTTGCGTATACGCGCTTTATGCGTTAGCTTGTATCATCGCATTGCATCAATGCAAATGCGATATTCATCAGCGTGTACGGCGCCGATGACGCGTGTTTCTAGTATACGCGTCGCTTGCGCATAAAATACGCCATGTGCCATAGCCTTATCTTTTTTTTCAGTTTAGTTGGTTCCATTGCACATCTTGTGAAAGGAGCATTGGGAGGAGGAATCCTCAGTTGTCACGTAGGCTACATGAAAGGTGGCTTACTCATATCCTTACCGCTTCACCTTTTTTGCGGCGTTTACATGGGATACTGTCTTTACGTGAGTAATGTTCATTTTTTCACATATCTTCATCATCATCATCATTATCCCAAACTTATAAGTTGCTAAATTACGACGTCCTCGCTAGTAAAATCACTAACTTCTTATGTAATGTGCCTGCATAAATAACAAGTTTATATAATGTTCTATGTAAGTTTGTTGTCAGTAAGTAGAAAGTAGTAAGTAAGTAAGTAAGTAAGTAAGTAAGTAAGTAAGTAAGCAAACAGTAGTAGACCACTGTTGTACCTAATAAATCTTATATTACCATTAATAATCATCTTTCTGTGTGTTTTCCCTGACTCCACACTGTGATCTTTATGATTACACATTACACTTAATTATTTAGTTTTTTCCTTATTTATTGAATTATTGAGTGAGTATCCTTTGTTGTTGATTCAGGGATAACTTTCCCTAGTGTAAGTATCTTTTTAATTTGAACGTTTTTTTTTAATTTTTGTTATCTTACTGACTTAAGTATGATGATAAGAGACATCCATACTTGAACGAAGTCTAAAAAAAAGGTCATCACCCAGATAGATTTTTGTGCATGATTCGTTTTTTTAACTTATTGGGAAATCATTGAACAAAACGAAAACTGATCGTAACTTTTGCACCGTTATGAATTGGACCAACAAAAGGTTAGGGAATTACCTCCTCTATGCCCCGTTTGATTTGATTCATTTTTCCAGGGGCATCCTGTAGGTATAAGTTTCTTTTTCTTAATGACATAAGCCGGTAAACGAGCAGACGGATCACCTGATGGCAAGCAATCGGCGGCGCCCATGGACACCTGGAACACCAGAGGCGTTACAAGTGCGTTACCGGCCTTTTGGGGATTAGGAGTTTGAGGATCGTTGGGGATTCAGAGGAGGGTAATTGGGCCTCCGGTAACCTTACTCACACGACGAAACACAACGCAAGCGTTGCTTCACGTCGGTTTTCTGTGAGGCCCCACGGCCTCACAGAAAACCGACGTGAAGCAACGCTTGATACCACTATCACTCGGTCGAGCCGGCCCATTCGTGCCGAAGCATGGCTCTCCCACACTTAAGTGAATATAAAATGTAAATATTGTTTCAGTTACTTGTGCAATCTACAATAATTATTTACAAACGAACAAGGATACCAGTTATGTCGTACGCTGATGTAGGTGAAGCTTCCTTGATGATGTTTCATAAGCCATCTTTGGCTAAGTTTTCAAAATTGTTCAGGTTAGTCCTTAAATTCTTTATTAATATTTTTTTACTAGCTGATCCCCGCGACTTCGTTCGCGTATAATAATGGATTTATGCAGAAATTAGATATCGTTTTAGTCTTTTCCAGGGTTAATTCCAATGCTGTAAACAACTCATCTGAATCGATTCAGTACTTAAGTTATATTTATTTTGAAATAAATGTATTTTCGTGATTTCAAATAATATATCGTCCCACAGCGGTTTTACCGGTATAATATTTGTTCCCGTGAGGTTTCAGTGATAAAAACTATTCTATGTCGTTTCCCGGGTTGCAAACCATTGTTGTGCCGAATTCCAATAAAATTTGTACATCGGTTGAAAACTCTCAGGCGTCCTTTTCCGGGTCCCAAACTATCGTACTGAATTCCACTTAATTAAGTTTAATGGTTTAAAAGATAGAGAGACCCAGAAATATAACGCAGTTCCCGTTACTGATTTTCAGGTTGAAATTTTAAAACTATCATACATCTTTTTCCAGGTCTCAAATAATCATAACATAATATCACGCATTTTATCCCCTAAGGGGTAGGCAGAGGTGCACATTACGGCACTTAATGCCACTATACAATGTAACACCCACTTTTCACTATTTATGTTATGAGTCCCATGTAATAGGGGGTGAGCCTATTGCCATATACCGGGCACATTTCCAGACTCCGTGCTACTACTGAGGTTTTTACAAACCCAGTAATACTTTGCCCGACCCGGGAATCGAACCTTGCGACCACTCGACCAATGAGGCAGTCTCAAATTATCGTTGTACCGAATTGTACTCAAATAGGTACAGTGGTTTAAGCAATAGGGAGTTTTAACGCGTAGTTACTACAGAACTGTGATAGAACATATAAAGAAGACTACAAGGGCCTTTTGGGCGGTACACGCGCGGCGCGATTTTGAGCTAACTCTCACAATCAACCAAAACCGGTCATCAAACGCGATTTTGTTGTGACAGCGTACGAAACTCCGCAAATAATATTAAATTATGCCGTCTTCGACTATTGTAATGTGTCGGGAAAGAAGACAGGTGTGCAATGTAGCACGAGAAGGGACTTCTCTCTACCAGTAAGTCCAAACATAAATACACTTGTAATAATTGTAATTATAACAATAATATTATGACGGACGTTTGTAAAAAACTAAAAACAAAAATAACTATTATTAGTCATATGTAAGATAGGTAAGAAATCCACAAGTTTCGAACAAAAGTTATTCTTTAAACTCGTAATAAATACCTTATGTTACCTAATCTGTGTACAATTTTATGACAAATTATAACCATGACCATTAACCTAAGGTATATTTTGAGGAAAATGTTTTCTTTGATGCTTTATGATTTATTTTCATGCAATTCTTCTTGCTCTCGGCTCTAAGGCCGGTTTTAATGTCCTTTACGGGCTTCCGCCAAGTAAAGGACATATAAAGAATATTATTCGGTAGTCGTTAGTGAATTGTGACTATCAATCGGTTCTATGGTTTGGGTTGGTGGTGGTGGTGGTGGTGAGATTTCATTTTCGTCTATCTGCATGAATTTTCTAACTATCTGCTATCCTTTGCTCCGTAACGTTTATTTCTGGGTATTGTTGTATGAATTTTTGATGTAGAAGTGTTCGGTATGTCTGTCTCTAATTTGGTGATATAGTAATATGTGCGCATGATAAATGCATTTACTTCAGGTGACCATCTCATGTGCACTCTGGGCTTCCCAGCCTTCGTGGACGCAGGTAAAAAGGTCTCTTGGACCACCTGCGCAACAGCAAAGGTGGGGTTTTCGGCTTCCCTAGACTCTTTGTCCGTTGGAAGAGGTGAAAGTGAAGGTGCATATGATGTTGTGCTTGGACTAAATGGTTCTATGATAGATGAAGATGGTGATGAAGGATGTAGTACTGTAACTTTTTCGGGTGACCCGGTGGGAGCCCGCCTACTCAACTCCGCACCGCCGACGGTTCGTCCACTGCCACACCCAGCGTCAGCTCCAAGTGTGCCCCGGCGATCGCCCCCGGGCAGCGGCCCTATACGTTTACTCTTTGATCTAGTCTCCATCTTTGATGGGTTTCCATTGCCATGTTAGCCGCGCCAGTAATTTTTCAATTTTTCAATCGCGTGTCCGCCCCCCACGTGAATCTGATGGTCGATTCGGACTTATGGTTGGATTTGGGGGGCTTATTTTCATTATTATTATTTTTTCATTATTATTATTTTTTTAAGGTGTAATTATTTTAGTTTTAATTATTTATTTTAATAAGAAGAGTAACAATAAAAAAGAAATATAAAAAAATAAAAATTGGAAAATGAGGTATATTTTGTTATGGGCTTGTGGCACCGACTTCTAACCTATCAGTGGGTGGGTAACCTATAAGTACGTATGTCTAATAATAGTTATATTTTGCTTTTTAGTTTTTACCTTTTGCTTGTTTTTAGGTTTTGGTTTTCGAAGTCGGTTGTTTTAAACGCAGTTTTTGTTTTTATTTTTATGCTTTTTATTTTAGTCAAGGCTATATGTATAGTCATGTATATCCCACATGGGTGCAAAGTTCTCATGATTACAAATAATTGTACAAGCTCAAACACCAGGTTAACGGTTAATAATAGTTATTAATCGTTTAGGAGTTCCCTTGGCTATAGTGCTACTTCATCAATCAGGTTCCTAATGACAATCACACCCCATACAGGTGTAAAGTTCTCATCAAAACAAATTAATAAAGTCCAAACTCCAAATAGCTACTGTCAGCCGTTGAGGAGTTCCCTTAGCTATCATACTCCTTTATCATCAGGCCCCTAATGACAATTACATCCCATCTAGATGTAAAGATCTTCTCAATACAAATAATTTAAGCACAAACACGGGGTCATTGCTACAAATCCTCGAGGAGTTCCCTCGGCTGTTTCTTCCATCATCATTCCATCATCAGATCAACTCCATACCTACATTAAATTGTAGTGGGTTTAAATATTATATCAAAACATTAACAAACGCTCTCGTCACCCATAGAATTTTGAAAAGTCCCCCTCGATTTCCATTCGATCTCACCATCAGATCCTGACCTGGTGAAAGAATCATCAAAATTCGTCCACAAACGTCGGAGTAATCGGGTAATATACACAAAAAAAACATACAGCCGAATTGATAACCTCCTCCTTTTTGGGGAAGTCGTTTAACAACGACATTATCGCAAGCAGAAGAATAGTAACACATTGCTTGCAATAGATGCGTACAATTTTGTACTCTATACAAACGATCGCGCAATGTATTACGTTCACACCGAGAGTCCCAACTCGGGACTCCCGAGTACCAAATCAAAACTTCATTTTGTAGGTTGCTACATAAATATATTGATACTTTAGTTCGTTTTGTTTGTTTATTGGAGGGTTTTGGTCGTACTCTTCCACGGTCACCAGCCGGTTTGGAAGATTATCTATGTTTATTGTTTTTATTTGTGTGCTTAAATGACAATGACCAAATTTGTATGGAGCGTGGTGCCTTTTCAGGTTTTTGCGGCAGTTGATCGGATGTAGAAAAACAGATGCAGAATAACATTACAAACAAAAAAATATATGGGGTCTTATATCAAAAACACAGTCCAAACCGAGTTAAATCAGTTCGAAGATGTGAAAATAGTGCTATATTATTCCTGTTATTTTGTTGATGGTGACCGTACACAACGCATATTTCTTTATTTACTTGTCAGAAATATTTTGTAATAATTATTAATAAACGATTTCAAGGAATATAATAAAGTTTATTGTGAACTTTTCTACTTATTTATTTATTTTTTTTGAAAGGCCCCGGAATCAGAACAGAGTGATTCATTAACTGGCCACTGCTGAAGTAAAAAAAACATTTCGCTAGATTGGCTAGCCTGTTCACTTTATATGTATACGGTTTATGGCCTATGACAAATTTTCATGATCAATTTCCTCGGTGTCAAAAACCCGCAAAATACTTTCCTGAGCCCTATCATGAAATGCTATGTTTGTCAGCTGCGGCGTCCGGTAGCCCATTGAGCAGCGGCGTCGTCAAAACACGAAAAATTTATTTTTCTGTCTATTTCTCCCGACTTACTTCAGATTAGTAACTAATCTAGCTACAGTTAATACTTTAATCTACAGCTAGCATAAGATTCTGTACAAAGATATCGTCATTCAGTCACAAAGTGATGGACTATATTTCGACTGATAACATTATATGACAAAATTATGCGCTCATCTGACGTATAGTCCATCACTTTACAAATTCGACGGTTTCCTTTCTTCAAAACATGCTATCTATAAAGTAGATGAGACTCCCACCAGGAGTCAACGGCAAAAAAAAAAATACTTTATTAGATGTTTGGATGGCTACCACTACTCAACCCACCACTGGTACCACAGCTGATACAACTCCTAGAAGCATCCCACAAATTATCGACTGAGAGAAAATAGCTAATAAAAAATTACTGCCTGGTAATTTGGATATAATGTGGTGTGATATGGTATTCCTGTGCCCGGCGTACAGTGGTCCGCAATTTGAAGTTAGGAATTGTGACAAGAATATGAATAATTTGAATAAAAAACCTAAGTTAAATGTTTGACTCCAGCTCTTTTCAACGCCCATAATTCAGTCCAGACTGAGATTTTCATATATGAGCCCATATTTATGGAAAATGTTATCATTCTAGATAATATTTTCCATAAGTCATCCAATTTTTCAATGCTCTTTGTTCTACGTCGGAAGAGGAGGAGGCGCTTTGTAACTATGGTTAATTGTTCTGGATATTATTGTATTTGGTGTATTTTAACTACATAAATTAGTATTCCCTGTTTTATGACTCTCTCTGAGAAACTGCTTGATCTCTTATCGGTTCGTTTAGTTGCTGTTTTTTGTTAATTCTAATTATTTATGGATTTTTCTCTATATTTGATGCAGTGGTGTTTTCGGGTGACGAAGGCAATTTGCGTTTGGCGTTGATTTTTGATATTATCGGTTTATCATATTAAAGGTTTGCTATATTTTCCTTTTCTCTTTCTAATTGTAGGTGTCCTTGCAGTTCTTCTCTTTTCTAAAATGTGTTTTGGATAGTCCTCTTTAGTGTAGTAGTTAGTTCCCACGGAATATAGCTATATTCCGTGTTAGTTCCCAACAGCTCCTTTTTGTTTCATAATTTTTATTTTGGTACCTAGGCTTGAGAAAGTTACTACTATTGGGCGTATATTTCCTTCTTTCATTTCTATTCTTTTAATTTCTTGAATGTCTCTGAAGCTTGTTTTTATAGAGAGGTAATTTTCTAACCAAATAATTAAGTTTCCTTCTATATTCTCGTATGATTTTTCATTTTCCTCTATGCCAAAGAATACTAGGTTATTTTTCTTTGCATGTCTTTCTGAAAAATCTAGCCTTTTCCCTTGGTTTTCGATTTACTTTAGATTTTAGATTTACGTGATTTTTTTCTATAGCCAGCAATTTTTCATCGAACATTTGGTTAATATTCTGTGTAACTTGCTCCGTAACAATCGGTCCTGTTTTCCGGATTTCCTGTCTTTGGTTTTCCAAGTCATTTTTATTGTTTTCGACTCGGCTCGGCTCTGTGTAAAACGTCATGTAATAAATAATTTACGGCATTTTTAAGAGATACAGCAGGTTAATAGACGTTGTTAAGTGAAAAATTACTTAAAAAGTGTAAAAACTCAGTGAGAAATTAACAGAAAGTGATAAAACAATCAAAATAGAAACTAATCTAAAAATACCACAAAAACCAGAAGTCATATTTAAAATCATCACAAAACAGTTTTTATAGAAGCTCCATCTCACGGTCAGCGTCAGAACTACTTCGCCAAACAATTAGCAAAGTAGTAGTAGCTCATTAAAGATCTAACGAAAACATCATACTAGTAAGCTTAGAGCTTCAGTCAACAACTACGAGAGGGCGCTACGCAATCAACGACCAAAAATCAATAAATTATTCTATTAACCATGGAAGAAATTTTGAATGCATGGTATGGTTACGTTATGTTAATTCTCAATATTTTATTATTTTATGATTTATCATTCCTTAGGGAGAAATTAGTCGATTTTTTGTATATTTTGAATTAAGTAATTTTTTTTATTTTTGACCCCATGATTTCCCGGTTTCCTTTTATTTGTATAAAACTTAAAGTTGAAAACGAAATAAAATCGAAATTATACCTTTTCCGTTTAGTTATCTATATTAGCATAGATACATGTACACAATATGCCTTATACATGCCCACATAGTCCGCAATACATGTAAAGCAAGAAGCTAGATGCCAATAATTTTATCGATATCAATAATCAACCGGAGTCTGGAATTGTGCCCGGTATATGGCAATAGGCTCACCCCCTATTACATGGGACTCATAACATAAATAGTGAAAAGTGGGTGTTACATTGTACAGTGGTATAATGTGCACCTCTGCCTACCCCTTCGGGGATAAAAAGGCGTGATGTTATGTTAATAATCAACCTTTCGGTCCCCCTACCATACATGAGTTTTTACGCCTGTATGAGTGTATGTCACACGAAGAGATTGCGGCAGTGAGACCACCAATAGCAAATCTTTCAACCTAGTGCGTGTTGTTTATTTGTGTGCATTTTCCGCGTAGGTATTGGTCTCTTGCTTATAGTAAAGTTAAAGAGTGGGGGACAAACGGCGACGCGTGTTCTAATACAAATCAGGAACTATTTCCTTTCTAACCTTCTTTATATGTTCTGTGATAGTTACTGTCCCGTGGGATTTCCGGGATAGAACAATCATTACTCCTTTCCAGTGCCAGTCTCCTAAATTATCGTTGAAACGAATTACAATTAAATAGGTTTTGTGGTTTAAATTAAAACAGAGACCAGGGTCATGGAATTGCCGAGTTAATACTTTGGCACTAGGCGGGAGCAGTCATTCGACGATTTTCACCCCTTAAAAAAAAAAAATACTTTGGCACTACTAACTTATACCAAAAGGAGACTGGCAACTTTCATGGTAAATTTGGTATCGACGTATCTACTAAAATGAAATACTATCGGTTGTCAAGGGACTAGATAATATTAGTATTATACCATGTATAATTAGTTTTTTGATATGAGAATAAATACGATTTCAAGTTAACTGAAAATATTTTATTCATTCATTTCTCTCTTTAAACTGCTGTCAACCTCCTTGCATATGTTAATGTTAATAATTATCGTGATAACATAAAATATCATTGATGCATCATTGGCTCTGTAAACTCACTTGTCAAAAAATATCATAGGACATAAAAATCGGAACTAAATATTATAAATTTGTGCGTGTCTGTGTGGGTTTGTCCGTCTTCATGACAGAACGGAGCTTTTTTACTGACGACGAAATTGAAGTGTTTTTTTACTGGAGATAGTTGAAAGGATGGAGAGTACCTAACATAGGCCACTTTTTAATCTTTTTCTAACCCGCCACTTTCCTAAAACAGGGGACTTTCCTACAACACTGCATTAGTATGCAGAATATTTGTGACCAGCAAAAATATCCTGTAATATTTCTTTTTTCAAACCTGCCCCAATCCTTTAACGAGCGCAAGCGAAACGGAAGCCGTGCTGATAAATAGTAATATTATAAGTCCTTGAAAACCAACAACATTTGCCTTCCCAGTTTACTATTAGCAGTCAATAGCTTGAACAATATTTTTGGTAGATTTTTCACACATTGGGTAAAATTTACGAAATTTCCAAACCGTTCCCTTATTATTCTCTTATTAAATATAGCCTATGTTCATCGAATTCAGAGACAATGTATGATTCCAACGTTGTGACGTGTTTATATTGTTTTTTCCTTACAGTACAGTGCAATTATATCATGACACTTATTATTTTACAGGTACATTATAGACATCATAATAATGGTTGATCTCTTTGGGTCCTGCTGTTGCTATCAAATAATTATAGCAAAGACCATAAAACAACTAGTCGAAAATACTCCAGAGGCTAAGTTTGAAGGTGCTTATGCCGGTAAGTAAAAAAACTATAACACATTGCGTATAACACATTCCACGCTCAATCCTTTGCTTATTCTTATGTTTTTAACGTGTCAGAATGCCCAAAAATGTATGGATCAAAAAATACAGAATCGGTTAAAATAATTTACATATTATGGCAAGGTAGTGTATACATCTACACTAATAGTATTAAAAGAAAGATTTGAATTTTCGTCTGTTTGTTTGAATTGAATAGGCTCCGTAACTACCGGACTGATCTAAAAAATTCTTTTACCGTAGGAATCCTATTTTATCGATGATGAACATAGGCTATATTTAAAAAGATAGAAAAATGGCAACCGTGTGAAAATTTCGATAATGTAACCCGCAGCTGTAGCCAAATGCTATTCAACGCTTGTCTACATGTAGAGTTATTGATTTTTGTACGCAAACCGTTTATATGCGGCTAGCGACACCGGCCATAACTTTGCGACACTCATACATATACAGTGATACATCCATCCGAACACCCATACTATACATACATATGTATGCGCGTGGACACAGGCTCACCGATCTTCGTACACCCCAATACCTCCCATCGAAGTCGTGAGCTTGTCTGTCTGATCTATTATACCCAGATTACCCAAGCATTTATGATGTATCGTTGCACATAACCCCTTTGTGAAAACATCTGCTGGCATCCTGTCTGTACATAAATATTTCAGACTAATAACACCTATATCTTAAATAAAGTGGTGCCTAAAGTCCACGTGTTTTGTTCTGGAGTGATAATTTCTTGTCTGAGCAAGTTTTAAAGCTCCTTGATTGTTCAATAAGAATGTTACCACCTTGAATCGAATTCTCACATTTCTCAACACATCCTGTAAATACATAGCTTTCTTTGCGGCTTCAGCAGCACTTAAATTCGGCTTCCGTGCTGAAGAGGGCTACAGTTCTCTGCTTAAGAGCTTCCCAGCTTACTTGACCACCGACCAAAATAAATGAGTAAGATCTACGGTCGATTGGCAACAACACACAACTGGCAACACTGGCCAGGTAAACAAGTAACTCCGTAATTCAAATGTAAAATAATTATTAAATTACTGTCTTTATATACTAGTCTGAGTTTAAAAGTATGTGAATATGTACAACAGTGACTGTGTAACGTTTGTGACAAAAACTTTGTGATAACTCTTCAAAAATACCCAAATATTGTGACTGTGCTGTTCTTGCAGAAAAATCCATCACCAGCTGTGAAACTTGTGAAAGTAAATCTAAATAATGTTACATGTGGTGTACCAGTAAAATCTAGTGGCCATATATGATCTAAAGAACATATTTTTATAAGACAATAAAAATTAGCGCAAATTAACTGTTTTTAAACTAAAATAGACGGTATGTAAACAAAACAAGACAGTACTGACAACTTTCCCAGACTAAAATAATAACTTCCATAGACAACGTGATTGAATGAACGAAAACTATTTTACTCTGTTACACGGTGCTTTTTTTATTAGTCTGAAAATACATTCTCAACCTACTCAAAAATCTTGGTGTTGTCATACTAAAAAAGAAAAACCTAGAATAATAGGATATTTTCCAGAATGAGTTTAAACGAGAATATTACATTTCGTCGAGTACGGACACACTCAGACTCAAATCCAAAAAAAAACTTACAATGATTCGGAGACTGACATAGATGTGACAATGTGCAGTATGCCCGACATATCTGACGACGAAGATGATCAAATTAAAGTATTAAAAAACAAACTGGAAACGCAGGCGCTTCAATTGATAAGTGCCCACAAGGAAATCGAAGCACTTACATTAGAAATATCAGACTTAAAACGTATAAATAATGAATTAATGATTAAAAATGACTTACTGAAAAAAATCACAAATAGTCCTGCTAAACAAAAACATACGACACCCAAGAAGACATCCCTCTCTCAAAAGAAAAACAAACAAACACAAACAGAAAAAAATAGAACAATTTCTGAAGATGCAACCCCGCAACTACATACAGAGACCCAGACGGCGAGCCAGCCTGAGGTGAATATGCTTTTAGCTGATTTAGGTGATGATGATGAATTGAATAATGAATGCATGCTTTTAGCTGGTTTCCGGAAACACAATAAAAATAAAGGAGACTTCGGCTCGGCTTCGAATGCAACTTCACTAAGATTTTTATCAATGAAAACTTGACAATGGCCAACAAAATCCTATTGAACAAGAATTCTGGAACTATATAAAAGCTAGGAAAGAAGCTGGGTACCCATGCCATATGAAGTATGAAAGACTCACTTTCTCCAAAGGAAAATATATAAGTGACGTGTTCAATAATTTCATTCACAGCGTTTTTCAACGTCCTGTACCTTATAATGGATATGGTATGCCCAGGAATCTTGGGCTCGCTGCCATTGCAGCGGTAAGTCCCCTCTCTGAGGAGTGGTTTGAGAGACGCTACGGCGTCCTCACCTACCGCCTGGTCTTCCAGGTCCTCACCGGACATGGAAGTTTCGGGAGGTACTGTGTCTGATGGGGCAGGAGGAAACGCCCGGGTGTCATCACTGCGAGGACCGCCCTGAGGACACGGTGGAACACACAGGCCAGGAAAAATGCCCAGGAATCTCCATATGCTAATGTTACTCACTCCATCACAGTATAACTAAAACATTTAAATCTATAATCCGTAATCTAGACTATATAAAAAGTGCGTTTAAAAAAACTGACTTCAAAACTAAAAACAAACAAAAAGTAAAAACTCAAATGCAAAAATAACTATAATTGGTCATACGTACTTACATATAGCTTACACACCCACTGATAGGTGAGAAGTTGGTGCCACAAGTTTTACACAAAATTATTATTAAAACCTTAATAGATACCAACTATTATTAAGCTGTTTACAATTTTATTATGAACTTTTTTGCCCGCGACTTCGTCCGCGTTGAACTGACTTCTGACAGAATTCATCAGAATCAATTCAGTGCCTGTGAAATGATTTATCGTGGTTTCAAAAAATAAATAAACCCGCTGGGATCTTACCAGCACAGTGCCTGTTTCCGTAAGGTTTTAGTGATATAATCTATTCTATCGACTAATGTTGTACCGAATCTTTCTAAAATTAGTTCAGTGGTTAAGAGATAGAGAGTCCCAGGGCTTTAACGCATAGTTTCCGTTCTCGTGGGACTTCTTTGATAAAAACTATCATACTTCGTTTCCCAGGTCTTAAATTATCGTTTTACTGAATATAACTCAAAAAGTTTCAATGATTCTAGATTCAATAGATTCGATAGCTAAGACTTATACAAACTCTCATCTCCAATTATATCCCCTAAGGGGTGAAATTTATCAAAATCCTTTCTTAGGGGATACTAATGTCTTAGTAACTTTATGCATGCAAAGTCTCAGCCCGATCGGTTGAAAACAGACAAACTTTCATCCCCTATTTTACCCAATTGGGGTTGGAAATTATTACCATCAGTTGAGGGAAGTCCACATTTTTTTTTTAAGCGGGGAAAATCATCGAATGACTACTCCCGCCTGGGTGAAGCGGAAGGGAGTGTCAGACTCTTACTGACTAAAAACCACCCCGTTCCTTCTCGTGCACGTCGAGCCGGAGCCCCGGTTACCCGTTAGGTTCTCCGCGACAGGGAACTCCACTACGGTTAACATTCGCTAGGTATCTTGTGTTTGGGTTTGATTAATTTGTATTATTGATGAGGACTTTCCACCTAGGTGTCGTGTGGTTGTCACTAAATGTCCAATGATAAGTAGTATGATAGCTGAAAGAACAATGGTTAACAGTAGCTACCTGGTGTTTGAGCTTGAATAATATATATTGATGTGGGTTGTACATAATATAATATATCTGTCACTAAACAAAAACTAAAAACAAACAAAAAGTAAAAATCAATAAATAACTATTATTGGTCATACGTACTTATAGCTTACACATCCACTGATAGATTAGACGTCGCTGCCACAAACCCATAACAAAATATATCTTAGGTAATCGTCACGGGTATAATCTAACTATATAACTATATACATAATTCAAAGGTGACTGACTGACTGACTATCAACGCACAGCCCAAACCACTGGACGGATCGGGCTGAAATTTGGCATGTAGGTAGATATTATGACGTAGGCATCCGCTAAGAAAGGATATTTATCAGCTACCCCTGACGAAACAATTAAATTGTTTAACATAGTGTTACGTTCACATTGCCAGAGATCACACTCCCAGAGTATGTGATGGGCGGACTGCTCGTAAACTCCGCTGTCGAACATTGGCACTATGGTGAATCAACAAATTTAAATGAGAACAATTTGCTTTTAAAGTTGCCGTGGCCAGTAAGAAATTGGGCAAAACAGTGATCCACCTCCAACCATGTCCTCTCCAGCCGCTTATGCACGGATGGGAAGAACTGATATAGGTGGGGCCCTTAATAGAAGATTCCCATCTACACTGCCGTTCAGTTATGTATAAGTTCATCCCAAACGTCCATTAATGGCTTAAACAATCTAGCAATTTTATTTAGGTCACGTTGTGTTAGAAAGCTTGGTGACAAATTAAGTCTCGCATTGTAGTACTAATCAGCACGTCATTGCACCTCAAGATCGACCGGACATACGCCCGCGAGCACAGGTAGGGCCTCAGTGCTAACCGTCCTATAAGCCTTACACAGAAAAATCAAGGCTAGACGCTGGCCTTGGAAAAGTTTTCGCCGTACCGCGCCTATTGTGGCCCTATCAGCCCAGACAGGTGTCCCGTAGCACATGCAACCCAGGTAGTTTGCTCCGTATATGATTCTGAGCGTAAGAAAATAGAGAACCCAGGTGGCTTTTGAAATTCGGGTCAGCACATAGAAGTTATTTTTGGCTTTCTCACTAATAGCCTTAATATGTTCAGTGAAAGAAAAGTTTTTTTCCAAAACTAGACCGAGATAGCAAACAGACTCCTTTCATTTTATGGCAACGTTGTTAAATTTAATAGACGGCCACGACTTTAGATTTGCTTTAAGCAATAGCTAGTAAGTTTTATGGGGTGCAAAAGTCAAGCAATTTCATTCGCCCCATCGCGAGATCCTACTGAGTCTTTAGCCTTTGTGGCGGGGTTGTCGTCTTTTTTTCAGTAATTGCGTCGGCCACGTATCGTTAAAAATTACGCCTTTCGTAAGAATGCTTTTTGTTTTCTTGTACGAGCCCCCAATTTGTAGGTACTTTTTTTTTTAAGGTGGGAAAATCATCGAATGATTGCTCCCGCCTGGGTGAGGCGGGAGGGAGTGTCAGACTCTTACTGACTAAAAACCACCCCGTTCCTTCTCCTGCACGTCGAGCCGGAGCCCCGGTTACCCATTAGGTTCTCCGCGACAATTTGTCTAGGGATTTCAGATATATAATCTAAAAGTAAAATAAACTATGTATTTAAAAAAAAAATAACCGTCTTTTACAATATCATTAAATAGAGCAACGTCTTCGCTTATCAACTGTCAGTCATCTTTTATCAATCTCAATCATACCCTTTTATTTCGTCCGTTCATTCACCCTTTCATTCATTCAACATCTTACATTACTTCACCAAGTATTCGGATACACACATGCAACCCCACATTAATATAGGCAAAACTGCTTTATTTTTCAATATTTCTTCCGCGACGGTAGCTTAAAAATGGAGTAATTTCTCCCGTTTTCCCAACATTTCCCTTCACTGGTCTGCTCCTAATAATTGTAGCGTAATGGAAAGTAAGGTATACTATAACGTCCCCAGAGTATGAAGAATAATTGTGCCTAGTTTTGTTAAAATCCGTCGATTAGTTTTTGTTTCTATAAGGAACAGACAGACAGACAAAAAATTTGAATTTGACGGTGTTGAATCTGTATATTCAAAATATAATGAAAATAAAAAGTGGGGGTGTTTATTAGATAGATACCAAAACCTCTTTTTACGGCATACAGCGACGAACGAGTAGACAAATCACCTGATGGTAAGCAATCGGTGCCGCTCTTAAAATATGTTTCTCTTTTTTCCAGGTTATCCGTCTCTTCGAATATACCTAGCCTGTATGATACCCTTTATCATACTCATTTGTTTAATCAGACATCTGAAGTATTTGGCGCCGTTCTCAATATTGGCCAATGTTCTGGTTGGTACGTATATATTATATAGGTTAATATGTTTAGGCGTCATAATCAGACCATATTAGGCGTGTGTCTAGCCCGATATAACCAGGATGAAAATAAATCTTGTCGTGTACTGGTCGAAAAAATATTCGTATTGCATCGCTATCGAAAGCAAAATAGGCCAGTGTCTGTTTCGCCGGTTCTCAGCAAAGTGTTTGAAAAGTGAATGCTGTCTCGGATGTTCCATCATTTTAATAAACATTCTATCGTTCACCAAGAACAATAAGGTTTAACTAAAGGTCGTTGCACAACTGACGCCTGTGTCACTTTGGTGAAGGAAATATTTGGTGCTTGGAAGCACCGGATGCTATTGGTGTCTTTTGTTACCTCTCAAAAGCATTTGATTTTTTGACCACGAGACACTTTTGCTGAAATTAGATCACTACGGGATAAGAAATTCTTGTCTCTTGGAGCGTGATTCTTGACCGTGTTTCTGCAGAGGATTCGGTTAACTTATTCTATGAAACTATTTACGACATTGTCAAAAAACATGTGCCTCTTTCAAGATCTAAGTCTACGCGTTATCCGGTATAGTTCAGTCCATCTCTTATATATATTTTTAAAAACAAACGCAAGGCTTGGAATAAATGGAAAATATATAAAAATGAATCAGATTATGAGATATTTTCATTATATAGAACTCGGTTTAAAAGTGAAGCCACAAAATGTTACAATAAGTACATTAATTGTGTCGAGGATACCCAAAAACATAAAGTATTTCTGGGTTTATATAACGAATAAAAAATCTAATGTAGGTATACCGTCAAGTATGACTTACAAAAACCAAACTTCGCAAGATCCGGAAACTATTTGTAATCTGTTTTCATCATTTTTCCAATCTGTTTACCAGCCGTCTACCTTAACCCCCCATTGGGCACCACCAAATAATTATAGCCACCGATGTGATTTGTTGCCTCATATATATCTCGATGTAACTGCTATTAAAAGCGAATTAAAGAAACTGGATGCTTCCAAAGGCCCAGGACCGGATGGATTGCCAGCAGTGTTTCTTAAGAATACAGCTGAATCAATATGTGATCCATTGAACATCGTGTTTAACAAGTGCATCTCTGAGAGTTTCTTTCCAGACTTTTGGAAGTGTGCATACATCGTCCCAATCCACAAAAGTGGTTCTAAACATGACGTCACAAATTATCGCCCAATTTCTATTATCAGTGCAACATCAAAACTCTTCGAGAAACTTGTTCATAATGCCATCTACCCCTTCTTCCATAATTATATCATTCCTCAGCAACACGGTTTTGTAAAACAAAAATCCACCATGACAAACTTAGCAACTTATACTAACTTTCTTTTCCATAATATTGACAAGGGAGTTCAAGTGGATTCCCGTATACACAGATTTTCAGAAGGCCTTTGGTAAAGTGGACCACGAAATTCTTCTTAATAAAATAGCGTTTAATGGAATTCTTTTGAAATGGTTTTGCTCATACATATCGAACCGCAGCCTGATAGTCGTAATTAATGGATACAAATCGGGAAAAGCTGGTATGTCGTCTGGAATTCCCCAGGGATCAATATTGGGGCCGCTTCTTTTCATTGTGTTTATAAACGACATGAATGATTGCTTCAAACACACAAATTTTCTTTTATATGCTGACGATCTGAAATTATATAAAGTCATAAAAAACGTTAATGACTGCTCAGAACTTTAAAGTGATCTTGACCGACTTTCTGAATACTGTGCGATTAATAAGTTAAACTTAAGTATCCCCAAATGCCAAACAATAAGCTTCACTAAAAACAAGACAGTAATCAAATACGGGTACACCCTTTGTGGCACCATACTAAACAGAGTGACGAACCTTAGAGACCTAGGAATACTGTTTGACTGTAAGTTGCACCTGGACCTATTTAATAATATTAATAGTTTCTACGAACTATGCAATTTAGATGCCAGTTTCCACGTTTAAACTACAAAGACCTTTTAGCCTGGTATAATTTGCTGTCACTGGAGAAGAGACGAATGCTTCTGCAAATAATGACACTTCACGACCTTTACCATAACAAGCTTAATTGTATGGACCTTAATAATACTATTAAACTTGTGGTTCCTAGATCAATCCACCGTCGCGGGGTGCGCGATTACCGATTGTTTGATCAGGCGTCACACCGGACAAACGCGGGTAAACGTGCTCCCCTCTGGCGTCTTGCAAGGATCTATAATGAAATCTTTATATTAAATAGAAACAATTTTAGAGGTAAAGTCATTGATGTGGTGAGGAGTTTGGATCTTGTATCTTAATATAACTGATTGTTTTGCATGTTTCTTCAAATATAGATAGTAAACATTGTTATTTGACCTCATCACAGCTTATGTCTCAAAAGGTAATATGTGGAAAATGTTGTGGATATTACATTAATTTGGTTTTATGTGCTTTACTGATGGATATTATATATAGTGTAATGTTGTTTTTTTTTCCAAATAAAATAAAATAAAAATAAAATATATTCTGCGCTTCGTCTTATGAAATCTTATTTAGAAGAAAGACAATTAAAGGTTCATGTTAACGGTATTAACACGGCTCTGGGATGAATATGGGCGTTCCTCAAGGTTCAATATTGGGTCCCTTACTCTTTAAATAATTTGCCATTCATATTCTAGAATGAACCGAGAATGGTGCTTTTCGCAGATACATCATTAATTTTTAAAATAGATGGACGTGCAAATAATCTTAACGACGTAAACAGCTCCATTCTTCCAAATGCATAATTGGTTCACCATTACGTTTGCCCAGCGACTGCACAGTTGGTGCGGTGGCTGGGCAACCGGCTTCCGTGCAACGTGTCGCGGGTTCGATTCCCGCACGGAACAACACTTTGATCCACAAATTGTTGTTCCGGGTCTGGGTTACATGTGTATGTGAATTTGTATGTTTGTAAACGCAACCACGACACAGGAGAAAATCCTAGTGGGGCAATTCAGACTGACCTAGATTCAGATTACTTTGAACCGCGTTCAGCGGCGTGCCATTCGGATGTCGGGATGTTTCAAACTGGCTAGACACTTTGGCGATGCGTAGAGATGAAGCTTCGTTGTGCATTGTCTATCGCTTATACCACGAGGGGTGCTCTGAGGAATTGTTTGACCTGATACCTGCCGCATCTTTTCACCATCGACCCTCACGACAGCATATGCATTTCCATCATATTGATGGTTGGCAGGCCGCAACTGTGCGCTTCTCACGTAGCTTTCTGCCTCGCACAGCAAAACTCTGGAATGATCTGTCGTCTGCGGTATTTCCGAACCGATACGACCTTCAAACCTTCAAGAAAAGAGCGTATTCCTTTTTAAAAGGCCGGCAACGCAGCTGTGGCTCCTCTAGTGTTGCGGGTCTCTATGGGCAGCGCTGATCGATTACTATCAGGTGATCCGTCTGCTGGTTTACCTCGTATTCCATAAAAAAACCTAGGTACAGATAGCTCGTTCTTCTCCATTCGAATCAACATTTTGAAATGAGTACCTAGCTTCACTTAGCTTCACTGACGGACTGACTGACAGACTATTATTATTTTATTTTGTATTTTTTGATGTTTCCAAAAGTACCAAATTATGGGTTAATTGAAATAAATGCTTTGACTTGACTTTTTGACAATTTATGTTATGTAGTGAAATGATTATTTATGATAATAGTCTAAATAAATAAAAAAAAATAGATTTTGTGCACCCTATGAACCTGTTTTTTTCTAATGCAGAAGTGAATGGACTATAGATTTTATATTGCACATTAAATTAATAGCATACCATACTTCGTGCCAATAAACGTTCTTACTCTTATCGTCATCGTATAAAGGTATAATTGGCATGGTTCTATAATTGAAAAGAGAACAACAACGCATCATGGAAAACAACCCTCTTGCCCCAGAGTAACAGAGTAATGCGTTCTCTGTACCCACGTTTGAAGAGAGGGCGATATTCACAACAGTGTGCGCTATAATTATAAATTACGCTCTTCGAAACTCATTAAATTTTTTGGTTACAGCGTTTTGTGTTTTCATGGTGGTTTATTACGCAATGATACTTAATCCAACATTAAAAGGAATGGCTGCGGCCACAACTCCATATGGGATGTTGGAGTTCGTGGGGCTTGCGGTATTCAGTATGTCATGCTCTGGTGTGGTAATCCCAATAGAAAATAATATGGCAGAACCGCACAAGTTTCCTATTGCCCTGACTATTGGTAAGTAAACCTTAACCATACATGGTACGAGGAATACCTATTTCTAAATTTGAATTCCGTTATTTATAACGAAGTATCTATGCGGTCGATGTTACAGACACACAATAATAAGGCATTTTCGTTATCGTATTTAGGCTACTCTGAATAAGTTCAATTGCGTATAAAATTCAATTGCTCTTATAATAACTATCGTGACAACTATTAGACAACAAGTGTGGGAGAGCCATGCTTCGACATGAATGGGCTGGCTCGACCGGAGTGATACCACGGCCTCACAGAAGACCGACGTGAAACAACGTTGTATTGTGTTTCGTCGTGTGAGTGAGGTTACCGGAGGTCCAATTACTCCTGCCCCTCCCTTTCCCCAATCCCTGAAACCCCAACAATTCTCAAACTATTAATCCAGAAGGCCGGTAACGCACTTGTAACGCCTCTGGTGTTGCAGGTGTTGCAATTTAAAATTCAATTATTGCGATTTACATTATCTCTGTTACTTTTGTCATTTCAGGTATGGGTTTAATTATTTTGGGCACGATGGCTGAAGGACTTTTTGGATATGCTGCATTTCTGGAGAAATCTATGTCTCCTGTTACGATGAATTTGCCATTGACATTGTAAGTTGTACAAATTATGTGTGTAGTACTACATGTTTTGTGCTGTGTACTGTACATGTGAAGCCGGTGCGTACGGTGCGGGTGCTTTGTTTCTTTATTTGTACTAAGTTTCACTAGTTACACAGTATGGTCAAATACGTAGACTTTGGTTGGACACTAGATTTTGAAAAAGTCAACCAACGCAACGATGCGATATCATTAAAGAGTTATATTTTAGGGTCCCGAAGATGTTGAAGGGGGGAATTGCTGCGATGATTTACGTGACCCATGCTTTGAACTTTTGGGTGCCATTTAATTTGGCTTTTTATTATCTAAAGAAGCGTCACCCCCCAGAAAAAGAAGTATTTTGGGAACTACTATACCGTGCAATATTTGTGGCTTGCATTGGCGGCATTGCGATTGTGTTTCCGGACATCAATGCTCTCATGGGTTTTGTAAGTAACATTATAGTCATACTTTCAATGTTCATTAATGGTAGTTTAAAATTAATATCAGAAAATCTCAGCAGCGAGAGAGATAATGCAAATGATGATGATGAAAAAGATGAAAAGAATCTCTCCAATCTATTCTGACCTACTGGACTGCTCGGTTGAACCAGAGAGAGAACCGTGTAGCCATGTAACCTATGAGGGTGCGGTGGGGGCTATAAATATTGCAATCAGATTGACGGCTATAATTATTAATTTTGCTGCTTACTTTGATGCTTTTATTAATTTTTCAGCTGGGCGTGTTTTGTATTGCCAACATGGCGTTCGTTTGGCCTAATATTATAACTTTATTGGTAATCTGGGAAAGGCCAGGACTTGGTTCAATGAAATGGAAGTTATGGAGAGGGATTGTTCTCCTAATTATTGGAATGGTCATATTTGTCTGCGGTAGTGTGGTCGCTATACTGGAGCTGTATGACGTATTCTATAAAATCAACGTGCTTGGCCAACCAGACGCGTAATAAAATAAAATACAAGTTATTATATGTCGTCATATTACAATACATGATTTTTATTTAGTTTTATCCGAATAAAAATGATGAAATTTGTATCGCGTGCCTACAAATATACGACAAAAGTATTTGGCATCATAATTTTAAATACCAAAATTTGATGGGTTCTGTGTAACATTTTATAAGTGAGAACCATGGGAACTATATACTAATGCTGTGACGCCGACCCCATATAAAATACATTTGGGATAATTAATATCCAACGACAAAATTATTACGATTTGTCTTGAGAAGAGGATCGGATAAAGGATAAATATATTATGCTCATATACATATCATCATTATATATATATATTATGATTGTTACATGAGATATATATTATACTTATTGTTATCAGTTTTGTTTTTCTAGAAATAAATGTATTTTTTGAAAATAATGTATTGTTTTTTTTCTACTCAATCAAAATCGAATATTAGCCGCCAACACAAGGGTACAAAAAAGTGTCACAATGAATTTAGTTTTGTGAATTGAGGCGTTTAGTGTAGGCGACAATACTTTTACATGCACGTGTGCACTGAGTATCAAACTGTGTATTCGTGAAATGAAGGTTTTTTTTTTACTTTACTTCTTTAAATTTAGGTTTTCGGATAATGAAATTATGACTCATAAAATGATGTAGTCCCTGATCATGTATGTTCTCACACATGATCAGCCAGACCTCGGAAAATATCTTAAACATGCTCTGAGGAATTGTTTGGTAGGCTTTGGTCTACATGCTTTGGCATGTATCTGAAATATCTGCCGCGTCTTCGCCATCGATCCTCACAACAGCATATCCATCCCCATCATATGGATTGGTTGGCGCACAACCGTGCGTTTTCTCGTAGCTTTCTACCTCGCACAGCAAAAGTGTGGAATGATCTGTCGTCGGCGATATTTCCGAACCGATACGACCTACAAACTTTTAAGAAAAGGGCGTATTCCTTTTTAAAGGCCGGAACCGCACCTGTGACTCTTCTAGTGTTGCGGGTGTCTATGGGCGGCGCTGATCGCTTACCATCAGGTGATCCGTTTACTCGTTTGCCTACCTACCTTACAAATCTGTAAAGATATTTCCTAAATAATTGGTTGAAGTGTGGTATTGCGTAGATATGAATGTCGACCGAAGAGTATAATGTATACATGTCGGACTACCGGGTGTTGCACACAGGTCCAACAAGTACAGGTAGCCAAAGGTCAAAGGTTAATGAAAAATAAAACAAATAACCATTTGAATAAAATAATTATAATTTACAAATTTAAAATTAATCCTTTTGCATTCGAATAAGTTCCAGCTACGAATAGAAAAATACCAATTAATATTACAAAGACGTTTTTCCATAGGCGCCATTTGTATTTTCCCAAACCAGGTGTCTCCCAAACGACCAACAACTCTATGACGGCTGGGAATATAAACCCTATGTTAGATAAGCAGAATGCTCCGAGCTGAAAAAGAAATACAGAACACAAATGAAGTACCTACAAAATATTACCTAACTTCCTATCTTATAAACTTAAAAAAGAAACTAAACAAGTAGATATGTTTTTGATATAAAATTTATATTATTAATGACAAAATAGTGATACGAATTAGGTTTTTTTTTTTATTTTTTTAAGGGGAGAAAATCATCGAATGACTGCTCCCGCCTGGGTGAGGCGGAAGGGAGTGTCAGACTCTTACTGACTAAAAACCACCCCGTTCCTTCTCCTGCACGTCGAGCCGGAGCCCCGGTTACCCGTTAGGTTCTCCGCGACTCCGAATCGGCATCGGCCCTATTGGGCCCCATCTGTGGTGGTCTGATGGCTCTTTGAGGCGCGCGCGGAACGCGACGCGCCGTACGCTCGGGTCTGTTTCTGGTCGGACGGGGAGCCACCCATGCTCGCCGTCCGCAGGCCCGCGCTTACGGTGGCCGGAGATCGTCCCGCGATCCCCGACGCCCGGTGTGTCCTTCGCGACGGCTGGGTTGCGAGGAGGCAGCGCTTCGCTGCCTCACGCGTCCCGCCTCCTCCTTAGCTAACATGACTGCTTCGCAAAAGGAGGAGACGGCATCCCAGTCCCATACGAATTAGGTTGGATGCCTTTAGTTTGAGAACCACTTGTCTCAGTTTGATTAGTTTTATTTAAGTTTCATAGCACAAATTATTCAAATTGTACCAGCAGTTCCGAAGGTTAACGCGGTCAAACTAACAAATAAACAAACATAAGCTTTATACTAAATAATAACAATACAAAAGTAATAGGTATGAGATATAGTGAAGTAAGTTTTTTTTTTTTGATGGGACAAGACCGCCGTAACCTCCCAAACCGCTGCAACTCCTATAAGCCAGGATCTACAGTAGATACAATCATGAAAACACCAGAACACTGAAGTCCGGCGCGTCCCAGGGACATGAATAACTGTCTTGGTTCCCGCAACGAAGTGAATCAGAAGATATTATAAGATAGGAAAAAAAAGTGAAGTAATACTTACCAGTCCCATAAGGTTTCCTATGTTCGGGAAGGCAATAGCTAATGCGGTGATAATCACTATAAAGGTAGCCCTGTAGATTCGCTCCCATATCCAATATCTTTTCGGGTTATGTTTCTTCGACACGTAATGCCATACCAAGTTAAATGGAGCCCAAAAATTGAGGGCAAACGTCACAAATATCATAATGGCCATTAATACTTTCAGTATTGTTGGGAAACTGCAAAATGAAAGTGAAATTATTACTTTTATCGTTGATATAAAACGATAACTACATTATTAGCCCGGATTCAGGAAGTCTTTTTATCCTCGAAGAGGTAGGTGCACATTACGGCACTTAATGCCTCTGTACAATGTAACAACCACTTTTCACTATTTATGTTATGAGTCCCATGTAATATGGGGTGAGCCTATTGCCATATACCGGGCACAATTCCAGACTCCGTGCTACTATTGAGAATTTTTTAAAAACCCAGTAAAACCCAGTCCGCCCCACTCGGGAATCGAACCCGAGACCCATTCGACAGTTACAATTGCGACCACTCAGCGAACGAGGCAGTCAAAAAATAAATTTGTAGCTACTATTAAAAATAAATATACTTACACTTCTGACGGGAAATTTAATGTAACTGGTGATATTGACTTCTCCCCAAAACCCCAGTAGCCGAAGAATCCAACGAGTATCAAGAATGAGACTACCACGGTCATACCTGGTTAACAAAAGTGCAATAGTTATTATTATTAAGGCCTCTTTTACGACTTTACAATAAGCCCCTAAGGCTAACTCATGGCGTAATCTTCTCCCACGCCCGCCACGGTGGCGGAATGGAGACGGAATTTTCAAAACTCACTAGACCGTAGTAGTAGTATTATCCCGCCCGTCTTGAGATAATCAACCGCCAAGGTTAGGCGGGAGGTTAAACAATCCAGTGAGTTCCAGACCGGTCGTCTCATTGCGATTGCCCATAACCGATCTAGCTGCCGCAAATAATTGCAACCACTGCTAGAACAACGCGCCGTGGAAATTGCTTTGATTTTTTATTACATACATATCTGTATGCTGCAAAGATTGCGGGCTCGCAACCTCTAACCTCACTGCCTCTAACTGGCACTAAATAATAAATAATAATAAAAAAAAAATCATTTCAGACCACATAGTCCATAGACATGGCAATTTTGTTAGTGCAGACAATCTACTTATTACTACCTAGCTTAATTAATATCGATATAGAGATATACGATTCATCAAAACGTTACTCCAGCAGGAAACGCAATATCCCGAAAATCTGAAGGGGCACAGATTTTATTTTTGGGGGCACACAGTGGCACACATATAAGCTCTCTGGCCATGCACATTTTTTTTCTCTCCGATCACTCGTTTAGAATTTTCCTGCTAGAAAAACGTTACCCCAGCAAGAATCGTTTTTCCGTTTTTTTTTTTTCAAAACGACAGGGGGCACACATTTTTTATGTGGGGGCACATTTACAGCAGATATACGTTCTACTCATATATCTCTAGGAGATACTTTCTTGTTGGGGTAACGCACGCGCTTTTACCCGCGGCTTCGCTCGCATCACAAAAGAATAAAAAGTAGCCTATGTGACATATACCAATACACGCAGCGCCATCTATACCAATACTTTTGTTTTTCCTCGGGAATATCAATTTTTTCCTGGTTAAAAAGTAGCCTATTATTTAATCCGGACGTCCAACTTTACGTCTGCAAAAATTCAAAGCAATCGCTTGAGTAGTTACGGCGTGATGGTGGAACAAACAAACAAACAAACAAACTCACTTTCAGATTTATAACATTAATATAATAATATAATAATATAATATAGTAAGGACTAGTAAGGATATTAGTCACAAATAATTAAATTAAACTGAAGCCCAACGCTAAGTATGGGGGGGAGTTCATTTAATACGCTCACAGGTCCCGACCGTACCCCAACGAATGGACAATAACAATGGACTTTAGACATAAAAAAATTATCTAAATAATCATTACCAGCACACAGAACCATAGGAAACTGTTTCGGATTCTTCATGTTATTTTCTATTGGTAATGAAACACCGACTCCTTCCATACTAAACGTTACAATGCCACAGAATTCGAAAAATCCAATGACATCCTTCCACGCTGGTACTTCTGAGATCTTTGGGGCTGTCTGCTGGCTGTAGACTATTGTTGCCACAACACAGGTTACTGTAAGCAGAAGGAATTTATTACATAACATAACATAACATCACGCCTTTTATCCCCGAAGGGGTAGGCAGAGGTGCACATAGAAGTAACACCCACTTTTCACTATTTATGTTATGAGTCCCATGTAATAGTGGGTGAGCTTATTGCCATATACCGGGCACATTTCCAGACTCTGTGGTACTACAGAGATTTTTTTAAAAACCCAGTAATACTTTGCCCAACCCGGTAATCGAACCCGAGACCCCTTGCCCGGCAGTCGCATTTGCGATTTACGACCACTCGGCCAACGAGGCAGGCAAAGAATTTATTATTATTATTTTTTCATATTTGATGGGCTGACGTTTGACTACTATCTCGCCAGGTGTTAGCGATGATGCTGATGATTATATTAGGTATTATATCAATTACTTTCTTTAGTGGGAGGGGGGGGGGGGGTTTCATCCAATGATTTCTTCGTTTTGAGTGAGGCGAGAGGTGGGTGTGTCAGACCTTTACTGACTAAAAACCACCCAATCCCTACTCCTGCACTTTGACCTGGAGCCGTATCAACACGTTAAGTTCTCCGCGGCTCTGATTACATTATTACTTACTATTTTACATTTATATACATACAACATACATATAAGTATGTATGGTTTTTTTTTTTTTTTTTTTAAGGGGGGAAAATCATCGAATGACTGCCCCCGCCTGGGTGAGGCGGGAGGGAGTGTCAGACTCTTACTGACTAAAAACCACCCCGTTCCTTCTCCTGCACGTCGAGCCGGAGCCCCGGTTACCCGTTAGGTTCTCCGCGACTCCGAATCGGCATCGGCCCTATTGGGCCCCATCTGTGGTGGTCTGATGGCTCTTTGAGGCGCGCGCGGAACGCGACGCGCCGTACGCTCGGGTCTGTTTCTGGTCGGGGAGCCACCCATGCTCGCCGTCCGCAGGCCCGCGCTTACGGTGGCCGGAGATCGTCCCGCGATCCCCGACGCCCGGTGTGTCCTTCGCGATGGCTGGGTTGCGAGGAGGCAGCGCTTCGCTGCCTCACGCGTCCCGCCTCCTCCTTAGCTAGCATGACTGCTTCGCAAAAGGAGGAGACGGCATCCCAATCCCCCTCGCTCCGCATCATGGCCTGCACTAGGCCCGGGCGCGAGAGGTCGCCATCGCCGATCACTTCCCTGAGGACACGGCGGTGCTCAGCCCACGAAGGGCATTCTCCCACCGTGTGTTCCACCGTGTCCTCAGGGCGGTCCTCGCAGTGATGACACCCGGGCGTTTCCTCCCGCCCCATCAGACACAGGTACCTCCCGAAACTGCCATGTCCGGTGAGGACCTGCGTCAGGCGGTAGGTGAGGACGCCGTAGCGTCTCTCAAGCCACTCCTCAAAGAGGGGACTTACCGCTGCGATGGCAGCGAGCCCAGTCCTCGGTTGCGACAGTCGTTGCTGCCATTCCGCCATGAGATCGCGCCGGAGCTCATCCCGCCACGCACTTATCTGGCGCGGCAGCGGAGTTTCGCCCCGGCGACGTGCCACCGCGCGCATGCTGTGCACGCGTGCGAGCACCTTCGCCTCCAGATCCCACGGCGGTAATCCGGCAAGGAGGTTCGCCGACTCCCCAGAGATCGTGCGGTATCCGCGGATCATTCGGATCGCCATGACCCTCTGTGCCATGAGCAGCGTCCGAGCGGGACGCCGCAACAGGTTAGGCGCCCAAACAGGGGCGCCGTAGAGGGCCATGGACCGCACGACCCCGGCGTATAACCTCCGGCAGGAGGCGTTTGGCCCCCCGAGGTTGGGGAGGATGCGTTTAAACGCAGCCCCCGTCCTCTCCAACTTTGGAGCCAAACGTCGGAAGTGTTCTATGAAGTTCCACCGACTGTCGAGGACGAGTCCTAGGTACTTCATCGTCGTCTCGACGCCGATGGTAACTCCTCCCGCCGTTATTTGGGACCCACCCGGAGGTGGCGCGTTCCCGCGGCCATGAAAACACATGGCCTCGGACTTGTGGAGCGCCACCTCGAGTCCCAACTGCCGGATTCTCTCAACGACTGTCGCAACCGCTGTCGCCATTAAGTCGGCCGCCGCCTGGTGTGACCTCCCGTGCGCCAGCACCAGCGTATCGTCAGCGTAGCATATAGTGCTAACGCCGTTCGGGAGGTCGGTGCGCAGCACCCAGTCATAGCCGATGTTCCACAGGAGCGGCCCCAGAACCGAACCCTGCGGAACACCGCGTGACATCTCTAAGTATGTATGGTAGGAGGTGAGTGGGTGATATGTTGGTAGCAGTAAAACAATAGTTATTGAGATTCCCGATTCGATATATATCCAGTTTTTGATAGTCTTTGATTAACGGAACAGAATTTTTTTTCTGTGCCGTGGTTTGATTAATGTATTAAGGTATATTGGTAAAATCTAGAAATTAGGAGACATCTTGATTGCTGAAGACAAGTTGGGGCGGAGGCTGTGCAATACGGAGCCGCGAAAGGCCTAACGGGTAGCCGGGGCTCCAACTCGAAGAGCAGGAGTAGGAACGGGGTGTTTTTTTTAGTCAGTAAGAGTCTGACACTCCCTCTTGCCTAACTGCTCATGAGGAAGAACCCCTCTGAGGTTCGAAACTAGTAGAGTTTTCTCAGTATATATACGTGAGTAATCGGTGATTTTTAGTTAATTTACTATGCTTCACGATAGTTATTATAAAAACATAAAAAAGCTAGTGGCTCCTTTTCTATGTTACCAAGTGTATTTGTCAGCCGTAGGATTAAAGAGTTGAAGCTGATTATTTTTCTTAATTGCATGCCGACAGACGAAACATAACGCACCATTATTATGTATGCTCCTGTATTATGTACTTATTACCAATAAATAACTTTGACAAAATAGTTGATAATGTCTATGTTTACTAACCCAACTGTTTTGTCATTTTAGCTACTAACAACTAAAAACTACGGCAAAGTTAAGTTCGACGGTTCATTAATTTTGCCGTCACCACTCGACACTGGCAGTATAGTCGACAACACCGTTTTGGAGACTCAGTTGCCAAAGAAGAAAAAAAAAAATAACTTTGACTGAATTAAATATCCACAGACGTAACACTCACCAATAAATACATCAGCGATTAAAGTGAATGGTGCCAAATACTTCAACGTTCTGATCATGCACAGCAATAGAATTGGAACCAGAAGACTTAGGACATAAAGCCTTAAGTAAGACAGATCTTCTAACTCCGTATCTGTATTCACAACCTGCTGTATTGTCTTCGCTATAATGATTTGATAGACGCAGCAAGCTCCGAATAGGTCTAAACATATCACAAAGTCCACTGTATATCTGAAAACATAAAATTTACTATAAAAATAATGATTTGTGAATCATCATCAACAGCCTATAAATGCCCACTGCTGAGCAAAGCCTCTTCTCACACGGAGAAGGTTTGAGCATTAATCACCTCAATGCGGGTTGGCCGTTACAGACTTATAATTATTGAAGTTTAGGTTTCCTCACGATGTTTTCCTTCACCGTTTGGCATATTGGCAGGTAGCTGATGTAGGTACTAAGGAGTAACTTAAGCTAATTTTCCCTCGCAAGTGAGGTCGTGCGTACAGCTAATATAATAATACCTCTATATAATGTGTTATTATGTTATTTTATGACTAGCTACTTCCGCGCGGTTTCACACGCTCTGCTCAGCTTCTATTGGTCGCAGCGTAATGTTTTATAGCCTATAGCCATCCTCGATAAATGCGCTATCCAACACAAAAAGAATTATTCAAATCAGACTTATAGTTACGAAGATTAGCGATCAAACAAAAAAAACAAACTCTTCCGCTTTATTTATAGTATAAGATTTAGTTTTTTTATAGTACAAGCCGGTAAACGAGCAGACGGATCACCTGATGGTAAGCAATCGGCGTCGCCCATGGACACCTGGAACACCAGAGGCGTTACAAGTGCGTTACCGGCCTTTTGGGATTAGGAATTTGAGGATTATTGGCGATTGGGGAACGGAGGGGGGGGGGGTAATTGGGCTTCCTTGGTTATTATGCTTACCTGAACCATTTACTGTATTTCCTTAGCCTTACGAAGGGTCCTACTTCTAATGCCGCCTCTGCGACATCAGGATACGACATGTGTGGAATATGTAGCCTTTGGTATAACGTCTGCGCTGAACTAACTAATAACTGAAACAATAATTATTTTATTAACAACGTTTGAAAAAGAAACGACATCAACCTGCTTCTTTTCTGCAACAAACACTTTTTTGAAAACCGCATCATAATCGGTTAAACTAATCGCGAGATAATTGCTCACACACATACATACAGGTCAAAATGAAAAAATATTTTTAACCGATTGCAAAAAGGAGGTTTTCAATTGGGATGATGACGGGGTATGAAAATTAAAAATCTAATTAGTCCGTAAGTTAGGTAATAAAAAAATATTAGACACGTATTTTTTTATTTTGTCGTATAATAAAACAATACTTAGATAAAACGTATCAAAGTTTAAGAGTGGGGGCTAAAACGTGATTTCTACGTATCTAATGTACATAGAAGTGACGTCACGCGACATTTCAAATCAATATATCGTCGAAAGTATTCGTTACTGTAAGAAAATAAAAAATATGTGTCTAATGATTTAAAATAATCTACCAGACGGACATTAAAACAACAATTAGGCATCTACCCTATTCGACCCGTATGTAATATTTTTAGAACTGCCCAGTTTTCATATATTATTGTGTATGTGAGTCTATATCAGCGTCTGAAAAAATATGCCTTCCTAAATGTATGTATGTATGTTTGTACGCTTTTATGTTTGTTCCCTCATATCTCCTGAAGTATAAGTCCAATTTAACTAATTCTTTTTTCGTTGTAATCAAAGTTTGGGAAAGCCATGCTTCGACATGAATGGGCCGGCTCGACCGGAGTGATACCACGGCCTCACAGAAGACCGACGTAAAACAACGTTGTGTTGTGTTTCGTCCTGTGAGTGAAGTTACCGGAGACCCAAGAGCTCATATTCACACACAACAAGCGCCAAACAGTTACATGATTTATTTATTTATTTAATAATTTATATACACACATACAGCACAGAGGATAACACATATATAAAATAAGAGTACATACATAGGTGCTATACTTACATAAGAGTACATAAGTACTTAGTTTACAAACATAGGTAATCAATTTTATAACATATATTATTTAATTTTTGCTGCTAGTCTGTTGAGTGATCGTAAGCGCGATTGCTGACCGAGAGGTTTAATTGGGTCCTTTCCTTAATCAAAAATAAATTATTTTGACTGTTCAATACCTACAATAAGATATTAAAAAATAATCACACTTCCATTAATTGATTTTATAACTAACTTAATTTTAGTATTTTTCCAGCATGTTTTTAAGAAATAAGTACGCTGTTTGACGCTAAAAAACTTGACGTCATAATTAATCACGTATAAAATTTATAGAAGACTGTCGTTTTTGACAGTTCGAAAAAGGTATTGAATTTAACTTGTTGTCAAATACTGTATTTCCGAGTCGGGAAAAACAGTATTAAGGGTTTGCTATAGTTACAGTATTTTATAAACAAATCAGTGACATATTTTGAGGTGTTTTTTTTTTTTTTTAAGTGGGGAAAATCATCGAATGACTGCTCCCGCCTGGGTGAGGCGGAAGGGAGTGTCAGACTCTTACTGACTAAAAACCACCCCGTTCCTTCTCCTGCACGTCGAGCCGGAGCCCCGGTTACCCGTTAGGTTCTCCGCGACTCCGAATCGGCATCGGCCCTATTGGGCCCCATCTGTGGTGGTCTGATGGCTCTTTGAGGCGCGCGCGGAACGCGACGCGCCGCACGCTCGGGTCTGTTTCTGGTCGGACGGGGAGCCACCCATGCTCGCCGTCCGCAGGCCCGCGCTTACGGTGGCCGGAGATCGTCCCGCGATCCACGACGCCCGGTTTGTCCTTCGCGATGGCTGGGTTGCGAGGAGGCAGCGCTTCGCTGCCTCACGCGTCCCGCCTCCTCCTTAGCTAGCATGACTGCTTCGCAAAAGGAGGAGACGGCATCCCAGTCCCCCTCGCTCCGCATCATGGCCTGCACTAGGCCCGGACGCGAGAGGTCGCCATCGCCGATCACTTCCCTGAGGGCACGGCGGTGCTCAGCCCACGCAGGGCATTCCGCTACGGTGTGTTCCACCGTGTCCTCAGGGCGGTCCTCGCAGTGATGACACCCGGGCGTTTCCTCCCGCCCCATCAGACACAGGTACCTCCCGAAACTTCCATGTCCGGTGAGGACCTGCGTCAGGCGGTAGGTGAGGACGCCGTAGCGTCTCTCAAGCCACTCCTCAAAGAGGGGTCTTACCGCTGCAATGGCAGCGAGCCCAGCCCTCGGTTGCGACAGTCGTTGCTGCCATTCCGCCATGAGATCGCGCCGGAGCTCATCCCGCCACGCACTTATCTGGCGCGGCAGAGGAGTTTCGCCCCGGCGACGTGCCTCCGCGCGCATGCGATACACGCGCGCGAGCACCTTCGCCTCCAGATCCCACGGCGGTGATCCGGCAAGGAGGTTCGCCGACTCCCCGGAGATCGTGCGGTATCCGCGGATCATTCGGATCGCCATGACCCTCTGTGACATGAGCAGCGTCCGAGCAGGACGCCGCAACAAGTTCGGCGCCCAAACAGGGGCGCCGTAGAGGGCCATGGACCGCACGACCCCGGCGTATAACCTCCGGCAGGAGGCGTTTGGCCCCCCGAGGTTGGGGAGGATGCGCTTAAACGCAGCCCCCGCCCTCGCCAACTTTGGAGCCAAACGTCGGAAGTGCTCCACGAAGTTCCACCGACTGTCGAGGACGAGTCCCAGGTACTTCATCGTCGTCTCGACGCCGATGGTAACCCCTCCCGCCATTATTTGGGACCCACCCGGAGGTGGCGCGTTCCCGCGGCCATGAAAACACATGGCCTCGGACTTGTGGAGCGCCAACCTCGAGTCCCAACTGCCGGATTTTTTCAACGACTGTCGCAACTGCTGTCGCCATTAAGTCGGCCGCCGCCTGGTGCGACCTCCCGTGCGCTAGCACCAGCGTGTCGTCGGCGTAACATATTGTGCTAACGCCGTTCGGGAGGTCGGTGCGCAGCACCCAGTCATAGCCGATGTTCCACAGGAGCGGCCCCAGAATCGAACCCTGCGGAACACCGCGTGACATCTCTCGCCGGTTCCACTCGCCCCGGTGACCGGGGTAGCTGACGGACCTGTCCGTCAGGTAAGCCTCGATTACACGACGGAGGTAGGTAGGCACCCGATGGTATCGGAGTGCCTCCAAGATGCAGCTCCAGGGCAGGGAGTTGAAGGCGTTGGCGATGTCCAGAGACACCGCCACTACGACCTTACCCCTGGACACTGCAGTCCCCGTCGTGAGGTCTCTAACGCGCATGATGGCGTCCACCGTGGAGCGCCCTCTGCGGAAGCCGAACTGACCGTCCGACAAGTCCGGCCCAATGTCCGTCAGGTGCGCGACGAGGCGGTTCGAAATGATTCTTTCGAAAACTTTCCCCACCTCGTCGAGCAGCACTATGGGCCGGTACGCGGACGGAGAGTCCGCAGGGCGCCCCGTCTTCCGCACGAATATTTTGAGGTGTAGGTATTAAAGTACCGATGGGACCTATTGCTCTTTTGTAATGACTTTTCTATCTATTAGTATATCATAATTGGATGGAAACTAGATTACTTACATGTACACAATAACCGATGTAGAATCCGAAGATAATTGTAACTACTAGAGACGTCCATAGACCACACTTCATGTAAGCCTCATGAATACCTAAAATACCTCCGCCCAAGCATCCCTTAATTAAATGTCCCATTGATTCCAGTGCACTGAAAACAGCAAAAAGGAAATAATTAGTATACAATTAAAATAATGATAAAAATGAAACCCGTTTCCCGTTGTCACGCCATAACTTGAGAACGGCTAGACCGTTTTGGCTGATTTTTTTTGTTGTGTTTATTATTGTCAGGAGAAGGTTTTCAAGACAGAAAAAATCCTGAAAATCCTACGGGAACGGGAGAAAACGGGATTGCGTGTACGAAGTCGCGGGCAGAAACTAGTTTAAAATTTATATCTACTCATGAAAATCCATGCCTTATATGGGATTCCACCTGATGTATCATGTCGGTCAATATTCAAAAAGCTTGGTTTGCTACCCCTACCCTCATTGTACTCATATGAAGTATGAAAGTTCGTACGTAAACATGAAAAGCTGTTCAAAACGGCAGAAGATATGTATGTTCGAGAAGTCGACGCGACTATCACAGACTAGTACTAGATGAGTTTCCTAAGTTAACAAAATATAGATTAAGCTGCCTATATAAATGTGTGTCCGAATATTTAGTATATTGCCGAATACATTAAAAGTATTCAACCTCAGACTGTATAAAATTAAATTATTTAGATAACCATACATATAATTGAATGAAAATAACTTTTATAGCATTTTTTGAACATTATTAATTTATAAATAAGAGTATAAATAAGTTACATCGGAATGAAATTTGAAACAAAGATAGCTTATCGTCTGAAATAATAATAACAACACATAGCTTACTTTTATTCTACGGGAACGCGGGCAAAACCGCGAGCAGAAGCTAGTATTATGATAAAGGTAAAATAGGGATCGAGAGGTGAATAGAGACAGAAGAAGAGTGAATCGATACTATGAAGAATTTCCCAATACTTATCTATTCACCCCTCTTTTGTCTCTATTCACCTTTCGATCCCTATTCTTACGGTATCTACTATTCTCATAATGACATCATATGCTTTTTTTTAAGGGGGGAAAATCATCGAATGACTGCTCCCGCCTGGGTGAGGCGGAAGGGAGTGTCAGACTCTTACTGACTAAAAACCACCCCGTTCCTTCTCCTGCACGTCGAGCCGGAGCCCCGGTTACCCGTTAGGTTCTCCGCGACTCCGAAAATTTATTTATTTAACACAAACTTAACACAAACAGCACAGAGGATAACACATATGTATATAAAATACCTCTACATACGTGCTACTTATTTCTGTTGGACTTAAGTTTTAAGAAGAAAAATACAAGAAGAAAAATGACGTCATATGCTTGACGTAGTTATTAATAATTGCAATGCTACAATTACAGATGCTTATTGATGGTATAATATTAACGTCAATTTGTTTGTTGCTGTATCCAGCCTTAACTGATTCAACCTTCGTGTTGAATTCGATGCTCTAATGTTTTAGAATGTTATATTAAAATATTTTTAGGTTACATTTTTTTGAGGACAAAATAATTGACTTGACGAATAATAACATAACATAACATCACGCCTTTTATCCCCGAAGAGGTAGGCGTGTACATTACGGCACATAATGCCACTGTACAATGTAACACCCACTTTTCACTATTAATGTATGAGTCCCATGTAATAGGGGGTGAGCCTATTGCCATATACCGGGCACATTTCCAGACTCCGTGCTACTACTGAGATTTTTTGAAAAAGCCCAGAAATACTTTGCCCGACCAAGGAATCGAACCCGAGATCTCCACTCGGCCAACGAGGCAATCCTTCTTGTGCCATACCCATGATTCACTACCATACAATCTTTGATGCCAACAGTAGCATATATAGATGTTTTATCTCACGAGCGCGGGTGCGCCATACTTGTGTGGGTAAATGTACACGCACATTGTCTTTGTTTGCGTGCGCTCGGGAACACCCAGTTTTGGCCGACATACCAATGAATGAGCTTACTGCGAGTTACGCATACAAGCGCGCGTGTCTATACGCATTATAACTACAACTATGGCTTAACCGCGTTCTTGAGAAAAGTGAACTATCCTTATCCTTACTTATATTATAAATCGGAAAGTGAGTTTGTTTGTTTGTTCCACTTTAACGCCGTAACTTAACTACTAAACCAATTGCTTTGAAATTTTGCAGACGTAGTTACAAGTCCGGATTAAATAATAGGGTACTTTTTATCCCTGAAAAATTTGATATTCCCGAGGGAAAACAAAAGTATTGGTATAGATGGCGCTGTGTGTATTGGTATATGTCACATTGGCTTTTTATCCTTTTGTGACGCGAGCGAAGCCGCGGGTAAAAGCTAGTAACTAAAATAAAATTTGCACTTACTTTGTAGGTTTCTCAACACATCTTTGTGCAGTGAAGTCATACGTGTCCTTCTCTGAATGTAATACATATTTAGGCTTACTGTCTGTTGGTGTATGAGATGAGTGTTTTGAGGCAAGATCTGGACTCTCCACATTTGTATGATTCCCCTGGAAATAAGAAAAATGTGACAATGTCAGTGACAAGATATACATAACATCACTTCTTTTTCCTCCGAAGGGGTAGGCAGAGCACAGCACTTAATGCCGCTGAACAGTGAAACACTCACTTTCCACTATTTATGTTATGAGTCTCATGTAATAAGGGGTGAGCCTATTGCCATATACCGGGCACATTTCCAGACTCCGTACTACGACTGAGAAAACCCAGTAATACTTTGCCTGATTTGGGAATTGAACCCGAGACCCCTTGCCCGGTAGTTTCACTTGCGACCACTCGGCCAACGAGGAAGACTAATAAAATATTTAATAACAAATTACTGAAAAACGCGGTGTGTTGCGAAACGTTACGAAAGTCAAAGTCAAAGTCAAAATCATTTATTTTAATGAGGCCAGAATGGCACTTTTGATCGTCAACAAAAAAAATAAATAAACGTGAAGTTATTTGCTCATTCCAAGGTGTAGATTCCTATGGAGAAGAACGAGCAAGAAACTCCATAGATTACTCTTTTTCAATCAGCTTCACAATACAATTTACTAGTTACATAGTTTACATAGAAAGTATGACCTAACGCAGGCGCAGTGTCGTGAACGAGTGCGAATGTGCGTCGCTCCTAAGGCATAAGCACGTGCCTAATTTAAATAAATTCAGTATGTACACACATATCAGCTGTTCACAAAATGCGAAGTATGGTTCATGACCTACTCATGAAACAATTTAGTGTCATAATTGATTACAAATGAGCTTTTTATTATTCTGTTGTCTCATAAAACTGAAGGTCATCCGATTTTGACTGTGACCTTGATTTTTATGCAGTATCATGAGTATTAATTATGTGTTACCCAAAAAATATAACCATTTTTGAATTTTTCGGTACAGATAGACTGGTTTGATAGACGTCCACGGCCTTAGGGGGCGTACGCAAAACTGCGCGAGCTCCCTCTACGCATCGCAAGAACTTGCGAATTGATTAGCATCGCGCAACAAAATCTTATCTTTCCAAAATCTTCTTTGTTTCTTTTCCTGTATCTCCTAAGCAATACTTTGCAATATATACTCAATAGCTGTACTTTATATTTTACGCGAACGAAATCGCGGGTAACAACTCGTTATACACAATACACAAAAAGAGCAAAAAACAGAACCAAATCGAGACACAAAACACAAAAAAGGGTGCAATCGACCAAAATATGGATTTTTTTATAAAAGTAATTCAAAGACCGATATTTTGAGAATGAATCTATGACGTTGCTTAGTGCAAATCGGCCAGGAATGATGCATACTACTACCTCTTAAAGTATTTAGTTCGACTTAACCTGTAGCCCTGTATATATATATATACATACATTGTAAGTTAAATAAAGGCTTGTAGTAAACATCTTGTATTTCGTTGGAATTATGAATATAAACCCTATGATGAGGAAAACCTAACGTCTAATCTAAAAAACGTAGGTAATTAAAGTGAATCAGGTAAAACAGGTATTAGATTTTCCTTATCAAGATGATAAGAATCATAGGGCCAGCTCATACTGAGACGCGGTGCGATGATACTGGGGCCTTATTGTTATTCTATGCCTTAGTCTTTTTTTTTGGAATAGGAGGCAAACGAGTAGACGGATCACCCGATGGTAAGCGATCAGCGCCACCCATGGACACCCGCGAAACCAGAGGAAGCACAGATGCGTTGCCGGCCTTTAAAAAGGAATACGCTCTTTTCTTGAAGGTTTGAAGGTCGTATCGGTTCGGAAATACCGCCGACGACAGATCATTCCACAGTTTTGCTGTGCGAGGCAGAAAGCATCGTGAGAAGCGCAAAGCTGTGGCCTGCCAACCATCTATATGGTGGGGATGCATATGCTGTCGTGAGGGTCGATGGCGAAAAGATGCGGCAGGTATCAGAGTGCCAAGCACGAATAACTATCGCATTCGTAACGTAATAGTATCGAGCACGTTCGGCGCTCCGATTGGCCGGCTCAAGTGAACCAACCAATCAGAACGCTTAACTCGCTCGATACGGTTACGATACGAATGCGATAGTTATTCGTGCTTGGCACTCAGGTCAAACAATTCCTCAGTCTACTACTACAATAGTTGCAAAATTGTACAACACTAATTTCATGTCAAAATATACAATAAATATTGAAATCAATGTTGTACAATTTGTTGAGATAAAACTGTTCAGTTCGTGTCTCAACTGACGTAATCGGGACTCAAACACTGTTTTTTCTTTCGAGGGGGTAGAATCATTCAATTACTTCTCCCGCTCAGGTGGGGCGAGTAGGAGTGTCAGACTCTTACTGACTAAAAACCACCCCGTTCCTACTTCTGCACTTCGAACCGGAGCCCCGGCAACCCGTTAAGTCATCCGCAACTCCGTATAGGCATCAGGCCTACTGGGCCCCATCTGTGGTCTGATGACTCCTTGAGTCGCGCGCTTAACGCAACGCGCCGTACGATCGGATCTGGTTCTGGTCGGGCGGCTAGTCACCTGTACTCGCCGTCCGCAGGCCCGTGCGTACGGCTAGCCAGAGATCGTCTCGCGATCGCTGACGCCCGGAGTGTCTCTCGCAAAGGTTACGGCGTAAGGAGGTTCGTTCCCTCACGCGCCCCGCCTCCTACATAGCTAGCATAAATGCTTCGCAATATTAGGAGACGGCATCCCATTCCCCCTCGCTCTGTACCATGGTCTGAACCAGAGCCGGACGCGAAAGGTCGCCGTCGCCGATAAGTCCATACAACCGACACAGCTATGAAAACTGCAATTTGAACTTTTAAAATTGCACAGTATTCGTATCGTTTATCGTGAGATGTGTAGCGTGCATTTGTGAATACGGGACTTTAGTGTTTATTATTGTATAATTATATGATTATAATGTCTGACTGATGACTTAGTCATACAAAATTATATTGAAACTGGTGTATAAAACACATGTTTCTTTTGTTTATTTAATTTTGAGATTTGAATTTAATAGTCCATTATTAATACTATCTAATCTTTAATAGAATTTACGATTATGAATGAGCATCTGCTGTCTGGTAAGTGCAGAGTAGACTACATTTTTCACCACTCATCTTTCTCGCGGGTGTCGGAGAGAAAACACGTATTTCATATCGCTACAACGACAATTTTTACAGGAATTGAACCCACGATATGTTAAACAAGTTGTATAATCAATGGTCGACGAGCCACTGCCAGCCGTGTAAGTATGCAGAAGTTTTTGATATTTGTCCAAGTTTTTATTGTAATTATGAAACAATCTGTAATTTTAAATAATGAGATTACAATTTCAAATATTGTGTCACATTATTATAATGAAAGATATTTAAGATATTTAAGTTAGTCTTTTAAATAATAAATATTGTCTTCTATCAATTTTTTTATTTCTTAGTCCCGCACTATGCGAGCGATAATCGTAGGTGTGCTTTGTGGAATAGGAAAATAATTATTTTAAATTTTTATTTGAAGTCCACCTACGGGTGTCCTAAGTGGAATACCTCGTTGTGATTAGCCAGTAACCATAGAAGGGTCAGAAGTATTATTTATTGTTTCTATATGAATAGGAAATCACAATTACTAATAACATTACCTATTAAGAAATCAATAAAAGAAGTAAGTACCTATATAAACGACAGCATGATTTATTAATTATAACAGTCATTAAATAATAATTATTAAATAAAAATTAACGGTTAATAGAATAAAAATCCAGTAAAAACTTCTTTTTATGCGTCACATACTATTATAGTTATCAATTACGCAGTTGTCGCAGTATCTCGGCTGGGTGATGGAGCAACGTGGCACGGGTTCAATTCTCATATCGCGTACGGCACATTATCATCAGCCTCTAAGAGCCCACTGCTGAGCAAAAGCCTCTTCACTTAATCACGATTGTTCAAAGCGGGTTAGCGATTTTCTGATTCACGAACTCTTGTTTTGTGTCTGAATATGACACGACACAAGAGAAAATCCTGCTCAGTTTTTATAAAATCAATGGCCACTTTGAAGAACTGGCAACGCAACGTGTAGTGGATTCTATTCCTGCACGGAGCCATAAATTGTTGTGGAGTGTGATCCATAAATTGTTGAGGTATCATGTGTATGTGAACTTGTATGTTTGTAAACGCAACCATGATACAGGAGAATATCCTAGTGTGGGGCAAAGTTAGTGTAAAAAAGAAGAAGAAAAAGAAGACGAATTTAGGATAGGTATTGTGAATATTTTTATTCCTAGGCTTCGTACGAGTGGAATATAAAAACTAACACAAGACATACTACACACCACCGGACTTGATACCATATACTCCCTACAAGGAGTCCCACTACTTCAACCACTCGCCTACAGTCGCTGGCAGCGACACCACACCACCAAAACACGCATCCGCCTGGATCGTGTTTTTTTTTTTGATGGGCCGACGTTCGACCCCTATCTCGCCTGGTGGTAAGCGATGATGCGGTCTACGATAGAGTACATCGTCCCATAAGCAACCGTACCTAATCACTCGGGCCTTGAATACTTGGGAGTCTTCAAGGCCCGAGTGATTAGGTTATACCCTTCAGGAAATACAGACTCTGGCAAAAATTCCACTCTTTAGCAGTACGCACAAGGAATCTTGATGAATTGTGCATCCACGCATCCCCCAATCAAAGATAGTGAGACTACGGTGAGACGACTCGGAGTACAATATATTTCACAGAGAATGTCCATTCTCCTAAATAAATAAACCTTCTAATAAACCTGACCACTTAAACTGGCAAACCCTCTTGATTATGTAGAGGCAGCAGGCCACTTAATCAGGCAGTCCAGCATTGGATTGTTGACCTTCTTCAGGCATATCAGTAGAAAATAATGTTTCACAAGAATCACAAGCAACACCCTTATATTAAACACAGATTTTCCTCAATTAAAAAAAAACACTTCAATTCGTCGTTTCGTTTTGTCGCGATATACAGACATATTTTAGTTAATATGAATAAGAAAAAAGGTATACTCACATAATTTGAATTCAATTCCATATTTTTTGAAACAAAATTTTATTTTAATTTTAAAACAACTTCAAACACTGAACACAACCATATCCTCGACGAGTTTGATCTTGTGTCAATTAGGTGTTCACCAAAGACGTCTCTGCTGTAGCGTGTACACTTCAGTGCAGAAAAACAAACACAACCTTAATTTTTATTTTATTGTTTTCTATGAATAGTCTTTATTAATGATTGAAAATTAAGTTACAAGTATTCGTAGTTGTTTTTTGTTATTGATGTTTTACTAGTACCGGCTGGCTGTTATTTATTGCTTTGATGGCGTTAGAGCAAAAATAAACAACGATATTGGCTCATTAGTCCAATTGTTGTCAACTAGAGTATAACTATGACTATCCCCGAATAACTCGCTTTTTCGAAGTTATATTACCGATTAACTGAGCCTAACAAATGACTATATCAAAAGTCACGTGCGATACAAAAAATGAATCTATAACAACACATTTTTCACGGTCGTTCTTCAAATTAAAACTAAATATTATGAATTTTTATCGCCATTGTGCTCTATGTAAGTATGTTTTTGTGTTTTTCAAAACGCAAAATTATGTAGTTAAGTGTTGCTGACGTAAAATGGTGACGGAACTATTGCGTTTCTATGGATCAGGGGTGTATTTGGGTTTGATTTATCTTTTGAATAAAATTTCCAGGTTTCTTAGCTACTAGATTTAAATTATTTAAATTATGTACTCGACTCGACCGGGAAGTACCGTCCTCTTACAACAGTAATTTAATATTGATCTGTTTCGTCTGATAAGTGAGTGTTCCATATGCTCAATATATGTAATGACGTCATCATTTTCAGTGACGACATGGATATGAACTCACACAAAAAAATACTAACTATTTAAGACCGTTTCTTATGCATGCGTTTAGTAGTGCAAATGTATCTTTTTGGTTTACGGAATATAATATAGCCGTTTATCATAAGGTAGCCTGTGCGTAAGTAACAATACGATTCATGGTAGTACCTAAACAAACATAAATAAAGGCAGATCACACTTCATGTCCAGGTCACTCAATAATGGATAGTTATTCAAATTTACGCGATCTAGTATAAAAACGAGGTGAAATTATTATGGTCTAGTTAAAATTGGGTACTTGCCAACTAGTCAAGTTTTATACCTACTGTTTTCGAACTGTCAAAAACGACGAGTTTCTATGAATTTTGTACGAGATTGTATTGTGACGTCATGGTTTTTAGGCGTCAAACAGCATTAAGTTGGTCATAAAATATACCTACATATAATGAAAGTGTGATTATTTTTTAATATTTCATTGCATTGAAGAGTCGAAATAAGTTTTTTGATTAAGGAAAGTATCAAATTTTAAACGTCTCTACTTATTTTGACTTGCCATGCAGTTCAATATAATTTGTAGTAAAAAGCATAATTTGTGCGCCGTGTAACAGAAACCCGATTTTTAACAACTTTGGCAAAGCATACGCAAACCGGTTGCATTTTGAGGAAAACAGTAAGTTGAATGGAATAGAAAATAATAATAATATTACACTGCGTCATTGGTCCGCAGCATGATTGCTTTGCTCTGCAATTTGGTTTTATTTTTCGGTCGGGTTGGGTTGGGCAAAATAATTATGAAGGAGATTTTTCGGCTATTGGCACATTTTGGAAATTCTCTGTAGCAGAACAGACTCTGGAGAAGTGTCCGATGTATGGCAATATAACATACTTATTGGTAAAAAGGTGACCTTACTGCAGGTACCCTCCGTAACCTTTAAGGCATAATACTCCGAAGTAATAAAGGTATACCATACTTTTATATTGTTATTTTTTATATGTTTTCGGTAGCTTAGTTTACAAGCAGGAAGGAGTTCTGATGAAAACTTTGTGGTTGCTTTGTCCTTGTGGCAAGCATATACTAAGAGAAGTTCGACGATAAACAAATAGATGGCGCTTAATACAATTATGATGCAGATACAGCAAAGACAATAAGGATTTTTTAGCAATGATGGTACTAGGCATGATAGGAGGATTAATACTTTTCCAAAAATTAGGGTAGGTAGAGTGGGCAAGTCAATCTACACTTTTCTTTCAAATCCCTTATACATTTTTAACTTTATCGTTTATGAATAAAGTAAAAAATCGAATGACTAAAATTAACATATCGAAGTACATCGATGTGCTGGCCACTGTAGGTACATCACACCCAAAATACCTTTCCTTTTGGAGTACTAATCTCCGATAACCTGAAAGAAAACTTTCAGAATGATTCTTAACTTTTTAGCAATTTTCGTCTGATTCATAAGATGTTTAAATTAATGTGCACCGCAGTGTAATGTGTTTTTAATAGAATCATTTAGTTATAATACACATCATAATAAAGTTTTATCATTTTCTCGTCACTTTACCTTCCGTCTTATCTTGATGATTTATTTACATTATTTACAGACAAACTCCATACTTCTTGCATAGGTAGTTACAATACACAGGTACATATTTTACACAAGTCAAATTATTTTATATATACATTTTAATATATTTTAGCAATGGCTTTTTGCCCTTTTGTCATGGGCATGTTGCCACCTTGTTGTTCTTTTTTTATTCTTTTTTTTATATTTCTTTTGTTGTTGTTGCACCTCTGCTTACCCCTTCAGGGATAAAAGGCGTGAAGTTATGTTTATGTTATATTTCAGCAAGAGGTCCGGCGAATGTTATTTTTGATTTTGAAAATTAACCTTTTTTTGAGGGATGTAAATCATTAAATGGCTTCTCCCGCCTGGGTGAGACGAAAGAGGGGTCAGACTCTTACTGACTAAAAACTGCTCCGTTCCTACTCCTGCTTTGAGTCACAGCCTCCGTAACCCGTTAGGTTATCCGCAGGTTCGGATCGAAAATCAACCTAGAAGAATGTAAGGAAAGCTAGCTCCTGAGATTAGCATAGCTTTATATCTTAATATAGATTTATAACACAAATAGTAAGGGAACCAAGACAGTTATTCATGTCCCTGGGACGCGCCGGACTTCAGTATTCCGGTGTTTTCATGGTTGTATCTACTGTAGATCCTGGCTTACAGGAGTTGCAGCGGTTTTGGGAGGTTGTGGCGGGCTTGTCCCAAAAAAAATGTGACACAAATATTTTTAAGAGCGGGTACTAGTTAGCAAGTATATATTTATATATTATGTATATATGTATGCATATTGTAGGCATATTGTACTCATGTGTAGGTATATATTATAATTAAATTTATTTATGTATGTATATCTCCGAAATATATTAGTTTATCCTTCATTGTTCAATAAAATCACTGCTTGCCTCTTGCACCTACCAATTACTCTTCTCTGACACCCAAAGGTCAGACTGGTAGAAAATGCCTGCGGCATTAAGTCCACCTTTTTGTACATTTTGTGCAAGAAGCATATTAAATAAATAAATAAATAAATAAATTAAGTGACGCTTGACTATAACAAGATAGGACCCTATAATGTGATAATCGTACAGTTATCATCAGTATATACGTAAATATATCTGAGGCCTTAGTACCTACAAGTTTCATTTATGTTTAAAGTATTCGAAACGAGTATCAAGTACGCGTTCGGCGCTCTGATTGGTTGGTTATTTGGCGCCGGCCAATCACAGTGCCGAACGCGTACTTGATACGATTACTTTATACGTAATGAAACAATAGACTAACTTACTTTTTAACCAATGCAATTTTCCAAGTCTTGGAATGGAATACGCAGGGGAAAAGGAAGCGTCCCGTCCGATAAAACTGAGGTGGTGGAGGCGGCGAATATCGGCATAACGTGGAGTAAGCATAAGCGGGAAGCTCAAGACCGATTAAGATGAACGATCTCTGCCTCATCTCGGAGACAAAGGACCTCAAGAAGAAGAAGAAATCCTTCGACTATTTATAAACTAGTCAAAACAACGAATGAATCATTAAATTACACACTGGTTTAAGTCAATATTTGCATTGAAACAAAATTATTGTGTTGTGTGTAAAGATACAGATATCATGATTGTTTTCTTTATCTGTTATGTATGTACCTACTATTGTATTTTTCCATATTTCTCATACTTACATTATCACAAATTCAGAATAATATATAATTCTAATGACTGCACGGTTGACGTGGTGGTTTGGCAATCAGTTTCTGCGAAACATGCCGTGGGTTTTTTAATGGTGGAACCACCCCGTTCCTTTTTCTGCATTTCGAGCCGGAGGCCCGGTAACCCGTTAGGTTCTCCGCGACTCCTAAAACATGTCGTGGGTAATTTGGATTGTATTCCCATTCCCCACACGAAACAATATTAAGTGTGGGAGAGCCATGCTTCGGCACGAATGGGCCGGCTCGACCGGAGTGATACCACGGCCTCACAGAAAACCGACGTGAAGCAACGTTTGCGTTGTGTTTCGTCGAGTGAGTGAGGTTACCGGAGGCCAAATTACCCTCCCCTTCCCCAATCTTCCCAATTCCTGAATCCCCAACGATCAATCCTTAAACTCCTAATCCACAAAAGGTCAGTAACGCACTTGTAACGCCTCTGGTGTTCCAAGTGCGTTATATGGTGCGTTATCTGGTGTGGAATATTTTAACGCCATTGATTTGAAGAAGGCATACAGAAACTATGCAGCGGGAGTGTGTAGGCACAATATCTCCATTACGTTATATTAGCCTCCACACTGAGTTGTAGGGTGACCAAGCTTACGTATTAATGCGGACTTAAAGTACTGTTACACATGCTAATTTTCAAGCACGAAAGCATGTTTCAATTGAGCACTTGTCACTTTGTAATATGTGTGTCGGAATGTTGCTCAATATTTGTATACTATTTCAGGCATAGCTAGCTAGCCTAGGTAGGTAGTAGTAATAGTTAATAGCTAGGTAGTTTTCTACCTCGCACAGCAAAACTGTGGAATAATCTGTCGACAGCGGTATTTCCGAACCGATACGACCTTCAAACCTTCAAGAAAAGAGCGTATTCCTTTTTAAAAGGCCGGCAACGCACCTGTGCCTTCTCTGGTGTTGCGGGTGTCCATGGGCGGCGCTGATCGCTTACCATCAGGTGATCCGTCTGCTCGTTTGCCTCCTATTCCATAAAAAAGACATGTTTGCGAATCGACAGGTGTTCCATTTTTGAGCATGGTTATAGCATGTAGGAAAACGTTGGTTATTTTAGTATTACAAACAGACACTCCAATTTTATTTATATGTGTAAATGTATACGTTTGTAAATTTTTGTAGATCATTTTTGAACAGTATTTATGGTCATGCAATTTAAATCGTAAAAGTAAATACATACTTTGATTATATAACATTATACAACATCACGCCTTTAACCCCGAAGGGATAGGCAGAGGTACACATGTTACACGCCACTGCACAATGTAACACCCAGTTTCCACTATTTATGTTATGAGTCCCATGTAATAGGGGGTGAGCCTATAGCCATATACCGGGCACAATCCCAGACTCCGTGCTACTACTGGGAATTTTTAAATAACCCAGTAATACTTTGCCCGACCCGGGAATCGAAGCCGAGACCCCTTGCCCAGAAGTCGCACTTGCGACCACTCGACCAACGGTGGTCAAGTTCTTTGATTATCTGTTTCAAAATTAAGTTAGTAGATCCCGCATGACACATTACATTCATAAATGCATACATTCATCCGTAAAAGCTTATGAAATGGCCATAATATCCGTTTCCATCAACCACCTCTTTACTAAGAGTTGCTTAGCGTAAAAGTTCCTTCATCATTATCATCTTCAACATTTTTTTAATGGGACACGTCCGCCACAACTCCCAAATCCGCTGCCGCTGTAAGCCAGGATCTACAGTAGATACAACCATGAAAACACCGGAACACTGAGATCCAGCGCGTCCCAGGGACATGAGTAACTGTCTGTGCGGGAACCAGCAACGAAGTGACTCAGAAGATATTATAAGAGAAGAAATAAAAAATCATCTTCAACAGCCGAAAGACGTCCACTGCTAGACAAAGGCCTCCCCCTTGATCCTCCACGTCGAACGACAACTTGCTACTTGCATCCACTACTGGCTCCCCGCAACTCTGGCGATGTCGTCGGTCCACCTAGCGGAAGGCCTGCCCTCGCTTTAAAGTTAATATATTATAGTTATTAAGTATAGAATTTATCAAGCAGCCGAGATAATCCTCCGCTGGATGACGCTGTTTATCGCCTTTAATGCTATGCCTCTATAAAAGATATGTAACATAACATCACGCCTTTTTTCCGAAGAGGTAGGCAGAGGTGCTCATTACGGCACGTAATGCTACTGTACAATGTAACACTCACTTTACACTATTGATGTTATGAGTCCAATGTAATAGGTGGTGAGTCTATTGCCATATACCGGGCACAATTCCAGACTCCGTGCTACTACTGAGATTTTTTTAAACCTATTCCTATTTTGTCCGACCCGGGTATCGAACCCCTTGCCCGGCAGTCGCACTTGCGAGGCGAGACTCAACCAACGAGGCAGAGGCTATATAAAAGATGTTGGTCAAAACGGACATTAGTCCCGTGATATTTATCCGACAAAATGTAAACGCATGGTGGTCGTACATACGGCGCCAATAGAATTTGCATTGTTATGCCCCCGTCATGCGGCGATTGTCCCAATAATGTGTGATCATTTGACGAACTCGTGTCCACCACGACATGATTGTAGTATAGCGTCATAGCATCATAATGGCGCGCGGTTTATTCCCTGAACGGGATAGGCAGATGCAATATTAATTAGTTCTTTATTTTAAAAAAATACTAGCTTTTGCACGTGGCTTTGCCCGGGTTCCCGGGGGATAGAATGAAGCCTATGAATGCAGTCGTTTTTAGTCAGTTATAATTTGACTCTTCTCCCGCTTCGTCTAGTGTGGGAGGAGTTATTTGATGAAAGAAAGAAAGAAAAACCATTTATTTTGCCACGACACACAACAAGAATTTAGGAACACACAAAAAAGCCCATGGAGCGTCGCAGTGCAAAAGGCTGGCACTAAGATGATTTTCTATTCCTCAAAAAAATTATATACAGTACCTAACTACCAGATATAATTAAAATGGCAGCGGCAGGTCGCCTTGAAGTGGTACGAGGGAACGGTTGTTGCCGGCCGTCACTGCCCTATTTACTAATTTGGTCGCCCAAACCTTAAGCTTTTTTAGCTCCTAGAGTAAATTCGGCCCTGCACAAGTTTATGCGCAAACATAGGTGCATCTCTGTTCCTTCATTCTTTGAAGCCGGAGGGACCGACACGACCGGAGAAAAGTCAGTGGCAGGACCAACGGCTTTACTTGCTTTCCGAAACGCATGCACAGGGGTCACCGGTGACCTACGTTAGCGGAGGATTTGCCTTCAGCAGTTTTCTGTCGGCAGTCAAAGGCTTAATAATAGCAATTTTATCAGAAAATGCTATTATCACTTTTTACCCGACATTGGAATCGAACCCGCCACACGTTACACAGCAGCTAGTCACCCGACCACTGCGCTAACCAAGTCATATGCAATATATTCATAGCAATGTTTATGGATTGAGTCCTCAAACCCTTTGGATGGCAATAACAATATTCACTACAACAAGATATGTGGAACTAAAACATTAGAGTAACTATTGCTAAATTCACATGACTTTGGCTGAAATACTCAAACAATACTTAATTTTAAGTCGTTCTTAAGTATAGTTCTGTCAAATTTATTGTCAAACTAACTTTTACCCGCGGCTTCGCTCGCGTCACAAAAGAATAAAAAGTAGCCTATGTGACATATACCAATACACCCAGCGCCATCTATACCAATACTTTTGTTTTTCCTCGGGAATATCAATTTTTTCCGGGTTAAAAAGTACCCTATTATTTAATCCGGACTTCTAACTTTACGTCTGCAAATATTCAAAGCAATCGGTTGAGTAGTTACGGCGTGAAGGTGGAACAAACAAACAAACTCACTTTCAGATTTATAATATTAGTAAGGATGACTGAGACAGCACGATATTTAAGTAGGTACTACTTCAAATTGAGTAGCCTTTCAGTATTCGGGCGTTTGTGACCGCATGCCGTTATGGTTGTATTTTATGAATCTTGTAGTGTGGCTATCATATCCTGTGTAGTAAGATAATCACACAAAACGCATGTAAAATATTAGTAAGATGAGTTCCATATAATAGATTTAATCTAGTCTATTCTTTTGATGTGATAAAGTGGTAAACGAGCGAAGGAATTACCTGAGAGTAAGCCCAGCGCCGCCTATCACACCCGCAACACCAGACGAGTCACAAGTGCTTTGCCGATCTTGGTTTGGTTGCCTCTGGCTTATTTTCAATTGTAAGGTTTTTCTTAAGTCTCATACAAGTCGGATTTATTTAGCTTGACCAGTTTGTTTGTTTGGGTCAAATATTGTAATTGGAATTTCACTATCTCTGACGACAGATACATTTGATTTTTAGTAGGTACTCTTAAACTTGAAGATCATAGTTAAATTTTTTTGTATTACCTCCATTATGTATATAAAAAAGAGCGTGATTGGTAGAACTGAGTTCCTTAAAACCGTTTACTTTTACTTTTTAATAAATAAATATATAATACGTTTTATATGTCGAAGCCGGGCGTGGACTAGACGGTTACGAACGACGGATCGCTTTCGTCCCAAGTTTAAATCCATTTCCATCTGCGTTGAATTAAGCGATTATTGTGATTTAAATTGTGAATTGTTATTATAAGGCTCCTGATCGAAGACCTGTCTAATTATTTCAAAAAATACCTTGCGCGATTACCCACTTTAAGATGAGCGATTCTGATTCTGGTACCCACGTGCCGTTAGGTCTACAGGTAGGTACAGGTTACATATCATTGATGTTATAAAACATTTACAAACTATATTTCAAAGACCTAGTAGATACCATTCTAGAAAGTAGTGTTTTATTAATTGTAAATAATATTCTCTCTCAATTAGAAGGAACTAACATCTAAGGTACAGGCTCGACCTAGTTTAGATGTTAGTATTCATAACCTGTGTGTTAAATGTTTTTGTTACAATAAACACTTTTTATTCCTTTTTATTTATAATGCAAGCACGCCACCTAGCGGATTTCCGGTGCACTAAGGCGGAGTCCAACTCGGCGGAGCTCACTTTAGTTCGAGTCCCCACCGTGTGAAGGCGTAGTCACGGAAATGCCCAACGTTTCGTCTAGTGCCCAGTTATTATACCTTGTGATTACAATAAACTCAGTGATTAATAAACGCTTTTCTTATTTACACGATAGGTACCCATATTCACCCACATTATGAGCAACCGGACCATATGTCTGAGCAACCGGAACATAATCCTGTCTCTCGAACATATTATACGTATATACTTAATAATAATTTTATTCTTGGCGGTCTATATGTTAGTTTAGTAGTAATTATTAACGATTAAATAAGTGATTTTTGGACCAATGAGGGTGAGCAGTTTTAGGTCTATTGGCAAATCTGCACAGGGTTCAAAATAATTTAAACCATTAGTAGGTTTTGGGAAATAGGTGTGACTGCCTCGTTTGCCGAGTCATAGTATAAAGAATGGCCGAGTGGTCGCAAGTGCGAGTGCTGGGCAATGGGTCTCGAGTTCGATTCCCGAGTCGGGTAAAGTATTACTGGTTTTTTTTAAAAACCACCCCTTAGTACATGGGACTCATAACATAAATAGTGAAAAATGGGTGTTACATTCTACTGTGGCATTAAGTGCCGTAATGTGCACCTCTGCTTATCCCTTCGGTTGTTGTCATAAGTAGGTTTTATTCTGAAGCTGTGGACGACTTAACGTATTATCAGTGCTTCGGCTCGAATTAGGGAGTAAGAACAGCGTAGTTTTTAGTCAGTAAGAGACACTCTCTTCCGCCTCACCCAAGGTGGTAGGAGCCATTGGATGATTTTAAATCTCAAAACATTAAAATTTATTCAAACTGGAGTGTTGCTATTGATGTCATTCATTATCTAACTTGTTACTTTTAAATTGATTAGTCTATTAGAACCTTTCATTTCGCTATCGCTTTTTGATGGCATACAATTTAAAACATAGATCATTCCGGCTTACTATAATTTTAGAGCATGCTTTTACCTATAGTTTGCTAGTAGGTCGTAGTTTTAGGAATACCAGAGCTTATCTGGCTAAAATGGCCACCCCAGTGCGATCCCCAGAGTGAAGATAACTGCTGTTCCATATCCTACTGATTACGTGTTTATGTGCCTACACTATAATTAGGTACTGGGATACTTGATTGTTCTTATTCTTCTTCTCGCCAAGTCGAGCGCGAAGTAAACACTGTCGTAGCATCCTTTATTGGAACCATTTCGCTATATTTTCAGGCCTCTATTTGAGAACCTCTGGACGGGTCCTAACGGGTCGTACACAAAACTGAGATGCGATGTCGCATCACAAAAATGTGCGAGCTCCCTCTACGCATCCTTTTTTATTTTTCTTTATTCATTTCATTTCATTATTCCTAATTACATAAAACTCCAATAAGAAACATTGCTGTCGCTTATTTTGAAAAACTGTCGAACTTAAACGATTTATTATAGCGGTATTTTTAACTATTGGCCCGAAACTTTCACTTACATTGAACCTTTATGACTTCTGTGACCTGCCCGCGAGAAGTGTCACGGTTTCAAAACTACACCTTGTATTAAATTATTTAATTTACGACCTTGAATAAAAATACAATAACAATTAAATTCAAATAAACATTTTATTAACGCAAAATTAACGTTATTATATACATAGATTAAATACCAATACATAAACATTACATTTTATGTAGGTACATAAACTGTCAATTACGCTGTGTTGGATTTAAAAAATCAGCTAAAAGTCGTCGTAACGAAGTCTCCAGTTTCTTCATTCTTGCTTCATTTAGTTATATTATGTCGATGCAGAATAAATAGAAGATAAACTAAGTACTAAACCTAATACAACGAGACCAAAGTTCTTAGTTTTGCGAACAAAATTATCTCTGAAAAATAAAAAAAAACGACTTCATAAAACCAAAAACTAATAACAAACAAAAAGTCAAAACTAAAATGTAAAAATAACTATTATTAGTATTGATAGATTACCAACCCACTGATAGGTTAGAAGTCGGCGCCATAAGTACCTCCTTTTTATGCCTCCTCCTTTTTATGAAGTCGGTAAAAATAGAATGTTATTTCGAAGACTGAAGATAATCTACATAATATTATAATAATATGAAGATGAAACCCTTTTTCCCTTGGTCACGGCATCACGCGTGAATGGCTGGAATGGACCGATTTCACTAATTCTTTTTTTGTTGTATTAGTTATTATTAGGAGAAGGTTCTTAAGACAGAAAAAAATCCTGAAAATCCTATGGAACAGGAAAAAACGGGATTGCGCGTACGAAGTCGCAGAAGGTAGTGTAATATGCTTCTACCACCGGTTTTGTCCGCATTTCCGCGGGATAAGAACTAGCCTATGTGATATTCCGTACCATAATCTATCCTTGATACAAATTTCATTCCAATCCCTTCAGCCATTTTGACGAGAATGAGTAACAAACATACATACAAGCTCACTAACAATTTTTCGCATTAAATAGGGTAGACGACTAATTTTTATTTTAATGTCCGTCTGATAGATTATTTAAAAACATTAGACACGTATTTTTTATTTTCTCACAGAAACGAATAGTTTCGAAGATATATTGATTTGAAATGTCACGTGACGTCACTTCTCAGTACATTTTATACTAAGAAATGACGTTTTAGCCCCCACTCCTAAATTTTGATTCGTTTTATCTAAGTATTGTTTTATTATACGACAAAATAAAAATATACGTGTCTAATATTTTTTCATTACCTAACTTACGGACTAATTATATTTTTAATTTTCATACCCTGTCATCATCCCCATTACAATACTAGCTACTTCCGCGCGGTTTCACACACTCTGCTCAGCTCCTATTGGTCGTAGCGTGATGTCTTATAGCCTATAGCCATCCTCGATAAATGCGCTATCCAACACAAAATAGTTATTGAAATCAGACTTGTAGTTACGGAGATTAGCGCGTTTAAACAAACAAACAAAAAAACTAACTCTTCCGCTTCCTATAATAGTATATAAGATATAAGATTAATTGCATTCTTTATGATTTTTTTCTGTCTGTCAAGTGGCAGATTCGCATTTTACCCAAAATAAATTTGTACATGTCTTCATATGTTGAAGATATCTTGTAGAACGACTTACCTGACTTTTTTAGAATAAAGTAGTTCTTCCCAATCCACCAAGAGCTCTATAAATGCTGGAAACACTAGTCCAATGAAACCCAAACAGAACTGCCCTAACTGCAACAAAACATAATTAAAATAATTCACTTATGACTGTCTCGTTGGCCGAGTGGTCAAAAGTGCGACTGCCAGGCAAGGGGTCTCGGGTTCGATTCCCGGGTCGGGTAAAGTACTTATTACTATCCCAGAAGGGGTAGGCAGAGGTGCACATTATACCACTGTACAATGTAACACCCACTTTTCACTGTTTATGTTATAAGTCCCATGTAATAAATGTATAGGGGTGAGCCTATTGCCATATACCGGGCACAATTCCTGACTCCGTGCTACTACTAAGATTTTTTTAAATCCCAGTAATACTTTTCTCGACCCGGGAATCGAACCCGAGACCCCTTGCCCGGCAGTCGCACTTGCGACCACTCGGCCAACGAGGCAGTCAAAAAAAAAGTATTATTTTGGTATAGTTATATGTATCGTGTATATAATCATAAGCATGTAGTGATTTATTTATTGTTTATCGATTAATACGGTGTACACCAATTATATATGGTAATCAAATTATATTACGTAAACAGCGGCTATTTTAATATTACAAATAGACTTTACAACTTTTATTTATCTATACAGATAGATAATTAATTATACGATTTTTTTTAATATACTCACAAAAACCACAGCTGGAATCAGATAAGGAAATACCATGGTAACACACGTCACTACAATAGCCATGACCAGACGAAAAAATCTTTCCCATAAGGCTTGTTTGCTGAAAACAAAACATTATTTAAATCTAATAATTTTTTATTACCTATATTTTTTTAACAAAAACGTTGCCCCACACTAGGATTTTGTCATAGTATAAAGAACAAAGTGGGCGCGGAGAAGATAACGGGTAACCGGGGCTCCGGCTCGAAGTGCAGAAGAAGGAACGAGGTGGTTTTTAGTCAGTAAGAGTTTGACACTCCCTCCCGCCTCACTCAGGCGGGAGAACTCATTTGATGATTTTCCCCCCTTAAAAAAACTCTAGGATTTTCGGCTCGTACACAAAACTGCGATGCGACGTCGCATCGCAAAAATATGCGAGCTCCCTCTACGCATCGCAAGAACTTGCGAATTGATTAGCATCGCGCATCAAACTCTTATCTTCCCAAAATCTTCTTTGTTTCTTTTTCCTGTATCTTCTAAGCAATAACAGAAGTGCACACTTCTTTTTATGATCCATGTCACAACCTAGTTTTTAATTTAAAATACGTTTAGTATGGTTGGTGGTCGTCGAAGGAATAGTTTCCCTGGGAGGCGCCTTGTCACACGAAATCGCATCGCAGCAATTCGCATCGTAATTTTGTGCGTTGCGAATTCGCATCGCATCACAGTTTTGTGTACGAGCCTTTTCTCCTGTGTCGCCGGTGCGTTTACAAACATACAAGGTTATCTACACATGTCACGTATGGTTGTAGTGGTAGTTCGGTTCCAGGGGATAGGAGAAAATCCTAGTATAGGACAACATATGTATTTAAAAAAATCTTAGTGTTACTATATGCGTGAAAAGACTGATGACTGTTGAGAAAGCGAAAGAAGTATGCAAGAATCGTAGCAATATACGCATTCTATAGTCACCGCCTACTTCCATGGGAGACAGGCGTGAAGTTATATATGTATGTAGGAAAACGTATGTATTTAAAATATAAAGTAAACTGAAAGAACAAAGTTTATAAGGCATGCACCTTTTGTAATTTTTCATGATATAGTGCCAAACTATTCGAAAGGGCACCCAGAACTGTACAGCAAACGTAGTGCTCAGCATCAACACAAGAAGGCATTGAAGAACTGTCGTGAACCTGAAGAAAATAATGAAGGTATATTCATTGTGCACCTCATGAGACGGCGGTAGTGAGGTCTTAAGTCCTATTAGTCCAATCACCCTATCTACAGCTGTTACTAATGCAAATTTTAAGCAAAGCAAGTGAAAGCATGCTTTATTTGAGCACTTGTCACTTAGTAGCATGTGTGTCGGAATATTGCTCACTATTAGCATGCTAATTTCGGATATGTTTGTGAATCGACAGGCGTTCTATTTAACATTTTTGAGCATGTTAATTAGAATGCTTTTTAGCATGCTATTTTAGAGCATGGGTAACAGTACCTATAAACTAGGGTAGTTCATTACACTACGCATACAACTCATGAATATGAATCCCGGTATGGCTTGAAACTAATTGAGCTTATTTTGAAAACTTCACAGAAATGAGTATTTTAATCAACTTATGTAATTGTAATTATCAAAAAACTTACGTATCTAGTGGCATGTGTACTGTAATTGGACTTTTACACTCTTCACCCCAAGCCCAGTATCCGAAAACTCCAGTCAATACCGTTAAAATTATCACTACTAACGTTGCTGAAAGATAAAAAAATCAATTAACTATTCCTAGCAATAGATTTAATAATCAAACTCTGCTTTGGATAAAACCGCACGAGTAAAGGTTATCCCACATTCAAAAAGCACAGCTCTAACCCAGCCGTTATGTTGTCATTTGAATATGAACTTCAAATCGAATGTCGTATGATACATTTCGTAACGGTAATACAAAAAGCCGACGGCGGGTGGTCAGCGCGCGGTGCACTCGAGGCGCCCGCGTGCTTACGGCGCGCCGCCCGCGCGCCTATAGCGCGGCGGCGGCGAGGCGTCAGCGCGGCGTGTCGGTGAGTTGACGGCGAGCCGCCCACCAGGTGCCAGCGAAACAACGTCGCATCGTAGGTAGGTATTGTTAAAAGATTTCACCTCGTCGCGCGCCGGCCCCACGCCGTCCGCTAGTTGGAAGCGCGCGGTCACTGCGCCGACGCCGCGCCGTACACGTGTTTTTAAAATGTGGGATGACCTTAAGTCATTAATTTTATAATTGGTCAATTGGTTCCTAATCTCCAAGAGGTTGCGCACTTGTAACGCATCTGGTGTTTCGGGTGTCGATGGGCGGCGCCAATTGTTTACAATCAGGTGATCCGTTTGCTCTCAAAAAAAGATTTTGTTAAGTTAAATAATATAAGTTGAAGACAGAGTGACCGAAGACATTTGTCAACAACTGTGCTCATCTGGCGGGTGTTATAAGTGCACAAAGGGGTTATATTATTAATACTACTTCTGTTCCGTCCTGATCGGCCCCTTTTGATCGTTGCGTGATGTTTAATAGCCTATAACCTTCCTCGATAAATGCAGGTTCCAATTCCAACACAAAAAACAAATTCTAATTGGACCAGAGCCTGTAGCCAAATGCCACTTGCGCGCTTATTTACTCAATCAATTATTTCATACGTATAACATTATTAAGTTATTATAATATCAAGCATGCATTACCTACTTAATATTATAAAATACATAAAAAGGCTTACACAGCCTGTAAAAGTGTTATTATATGAAGACGGAATTGTGACTTAGTATAGTAAGTTTTCCAATTTGTGTATACCTATTTATTTTAATAAAGAATTTTATAAAACAACAACAAACTCAATGAATGAAAATTCAATGTATGGGGATGACACCGACAGTGTTGAAATTTACGTCAATTCCATAAAAGTTATAAACTCTAGTTTAGACAAGCGCTAAATGGCATTTGGCTACAGGCCCAGTAGTTCTGGAGATTAGGGCGTTCAAACAAACAAACAAACCAACTCTTCAGCTTTATATTATAATAAGCATGAGTATAAGATAGACCGAACTTGCTTCTTTTAAATGACGACCTCAAACCTGTTTACTATGCGTAGAGATTATTACAAACCCATCTTTTGTAGAGGAGACCTCTAATCCACCTATGAACTCTTAGGCTAAGGACTCACGAAGCGATTTCTCCCGCCGCCGCCGCGGTTGCGGGCCCACAGCCTTTGTAGAATACAACACAACACAATGCGTTTTACGGTCGTGGCGTCTGCGATTGTTTGCGGCTCCCGCTGCATCACCGGCAGGCGTCCGCGGCGGGTTGCACACCCGCGCTCGGCGATCAGTTGGCGGGCGATAGCAATGGGAGGGTCGATCTAGAGCTCAACTAATTGTTTACCCGCCCGTCTTGCGATAATCAACCGTTAAGTTCGCGCAAAAAACCGCAGAAAACTGCAGTTTCATAAGCTTTGAAAATAAAACTCCATTCCGCCACCGCCATAGAAACGTGAGTCTTGAGCATTACTAGCTGTTGATTATCAAGTAACACAAAATTCAATCTTACCACATTTTAAGGCATAAGGAAATTGTCGTGGTCTCCTCATGTGGTTCTCAACTGGAAGAGCAACACATATTCCAGAGGTACTGTACAAGCTTATTGCACAAATTTTTACAAAACCTTGGACGTCTTTCCAGGCCGGCCTGTTTGCGATATCGTCATTAAATGAGATTAGACTATAGTACAATGTTGTCATTACACAAATAGCTGAAACAAGAAAATGTTGTTAATTAGACAATTAATATAAATGACGTACGTAATGTATTTTTACCCAAAGATATCGTTATGTTTTGCAAGCGTGTGAGAGGTAGCATCCACTTTCGATCAGCTATATTACAAGTTTGAAAAATATTTAATAGACTAATCATGACTAATGCTATCTTATTATTATACTCTTATAGACTTATTTGATGACAGTATAATTTCTAAATAATAATTCTTAATATTTTGTTGTATACTGTAATTTGTTAATTAATAATAATAATCAGTCTGTTTTTTGTTCGTATAAATTATATCAAAATACTAGTATCGATTTTGTAATGTATGTGATTCTGTAATGCTAGGTAGTTTGTCATTTTTTTGTTTTAAAATTATAAATTATATATTTCCTTGCTGTGCCCGACAGGGTCCACAATCATCTGCATAATTCCATGTTACCACCTAAGTAAAACGTTGTGGAACGCAATAAAGAATTTGAATTTGATATAAAAGAGTCTACAACATACTAAACACCGACACAAATCTACACAATCTACAAAAAGGACCAGTCAGACCACAGTATAAATATATACAGTAGGTTATCTAAGGCCGCCCACCGAGTTATTAGCCTACTCTTGCGTTGATCCCCAGGGTTGTCACTTTTACTTTTAGTTAATATTTTCGAACAAGCAGCACTTGATCTAAATTTATGAAATGAAAAGCATATTATGATTGAATATTTTATCAATTTATAAATTTAGTAAAAATAAAAAGCTTATAAAAAGATTATTAACTTCTTAAAATAAACTTTAGCTCTATACATAGTATTCAGAAAGTAAATTTGGGAATACATTTATATGGAATAATGCGACACGGCTACGCTCTTAACAAATCAGATAAACTGTGAAATAAACAATACAATACCACATTTTCTTATAATATTTAAGTATAGTAGGTAATTACATTTCTGGTTGAGTAGGAAGTATGAAGAATGATAAGAGTAAGAATAAGTAAGTAGGTATCTCATCATCAAGTACCTACAAATTATATTATGCTAGAAAAAGTGACTAGCTTACCTTTCCTGTTCAATAGGTAATCTGAACAGAGACAGTTCTGGAATCGATTAATTATTAAGACACCCAAACACACAGCAATACGTTCTTCTACGGTTATCAGACATTTTTTATTTCATTTAACAGTGCCGAAAAGTGATGCGCGCGCGAACCTCGTGCAGTGTTAGCCCTGCCTGGCTCACTGAGAAACGGGTCGAGATTTTGTTAAAGTGTGCGTGCGTCGACGCATAGATACTATGGCGCACACATATAAGCCGCGCGCGGAGCATTTGTATGAAGATAACCTACTTTGTTCTTTATACTATGGTCAGACATTATTGGTCCTTTCTCACAAGCACACGTGTCAGCGAAATTTTTAATTGCTTGGATGACAAGTCGAAGGTCATCTAAGTGAGTAACATCCGAATACTGAAAGGCTACTCAATTTTAAGTTGTACTTAAATATCGTGCCGTCTCTATCATTTTACAAAGAATTTGTAGTGACAGAACTATACTTAAGCCAAGGATACATTAGGGGACAAATGTTCTGCGACACGTGTCGCTAGCGACGTTGGGTGGAGTAGCGCGACGTTGCCAGACTTTAGTCGACATGTCTGGCAACAATGCAACATCAACGCTGTGGACATAAGGCGCGCGTTGTCGCCTTATAATATTATGTCGGGCGAAATAGGCAGGCTTTTTTTTAAAGGGGGGGAAATCATCGAATGACTGCTCCCGCCTGGGTGAGGCGGGAGGGAGTGTCACACTCTTACTGACTAAAAACCACCCCGTTCCTTCTCCTGCAAGTCGAGCCGGAGCCCCGGTTATCCGTTAGGTCCTCCGCGACTCCGAATCGGCATCGGCCCTATTGTGCCCCATCTGTGGTGGTTGCTTGACATGTCGCCGATACATATCGTGGGTAATTGTATACTTATGTATCTTTGGCTTTAAGCAACTTATTGAGTAACATTTGATTATTTGGACACAAAACACTTGTAACTATCGAAACCACATAAAAAATACTCTTACCAACAAAAATATCAGCTAACATAGCAAACGGTGCCATAAACTTGATACTCCTGATGAGACACAATGGAATTAAAAGTGGGGCACTCATCAGAATGTACATACGTATGTCAACGAACAATGAAGGCCATATAGTTGTATTAAATGAAGTCTGGAGCCCTTCCGTCATCTGTGAACAGTTTTTAAAGGTTTCTTTAATAATCAAGATACGGACAAAGCATACATACATACATATATCTAAGTCCGACAGGTAGAGGTGCCTAATTATGATATGAGTCCCTTGTAATAGGGGGCACCATCACATCAACAGCCTATAAATGCCCCCTGCTAAGCAAAGCCTCTTCTCACACGGAGAAGGTTTGAGCATTAATCACCAAGCTTGCTCAATGCGGGTTGGCGATTTCAAACTTATAATTAGAAATTATAAGCCCAGATTTCCTCACGATGTTTTCCTTCACCATTTGTCAGTGGTGTCTGAATAATCTTAGAAAGTACATATAACTCCGAAAAAAGTCACATTGGTACTTGTGGTTGGTAGGTTTTGAGCCCGCATCCTCATGCATGAGAAGCGGGCGTCTTAACCTTCGAGCCACTACGACACTATACAAGGGGCACCATACAGGGCATAATTCCAGACTCAGTCTTATTAAAAAGTAGCTACTTCCACACAGTTTCACCCGCTCTGCTTGGCTCCTACAGATTGTAGCTTGATGCTACATAGCCGATAACCTTCCTCCATAAATGCACTATCCAATATAGAAATGGTTATTCAAATTGGACCAGTAGTTTCAGAGGTCAGTGTATTGAAACAAATTGACAAATAAATTATTCAGCTTTATATAATAAAAAAAATAAAATGAGGTAAATATGATGATGAATATATAGTATAAGATTTTTTTTTTCGATATACCGAAGAAATGCTAATGGTGAATGTGTAAAATATATATTGTAGCTTACCTGTTTTAATGTGAACGCAATAATGATTTGGTAAATACAACAAGTTCCACACATTTCAATAAATATGGTGCAGTCGACTATATATCTGGAAAGTTAATTACAAAATAAATGGCAATGCGAAACGATTTGGTAACACTTGAAGACACGCTATGACGTCTTACGCTGAAATACTCAAACGCCACTCAAATTTAAGTCGCGCGTAAGTATAGTTATGTCACTTCAAACTCTTTATAAAATGACAGAGATGCCGTCATATTTAAGTACAACTGTAGTATTCGGGCGCGCGGTACTCGTGTAGGGCCAAAAGAACAAGAATCATATTATCCCTACAACCCTGAGAAATAATATCCATTACTATTATGTTTTCGGCTTACTACTAGAAGTATACCATAGACTTTATTTACTTGGCCTAGTCATAAATAAAAATAAATAAATATATTTTCCTACAAAAAATATTTTTTTTTCATCTTGCTCACGTAAATGTTTGACGAGGAAGTCGATTAGTTTCAAGCCATTCTAGAAGCTCGTATTCATAAGACATATTCCGCAATTCATATTTATGGCACACGTTTCATATCGTCTTGCTCAGATGACTCACCTGAATACTTTGCTGTATCTTCTGACACGAGCCCAAGGGGCCGTCGCTGCAGCGGCTTCGGCCAAGTCAGGGTACGATAACTTCGATATCCTTAACCTTCGATACATTTTTTGTGCTGATCTTATTAACATCTGGAAAAGTGAAAGATACCAGTTTACATATCACTACTGAGAATAAAATTTAGAAAAGCCAAAATTTTTGAAGAACATGATTCTTTTATCACTCGTGTAGCCAAATAGGGAATAATTTCGTTGATACTTACGTACATAGTGTATGCTATCAGTAGTCCGAAGCCTACCGTAGCAGCCATCGAAGTCCACATTCCTCCAATCATGTATGCTTCGTGCATTGTCAGCACTCCCGCGCCAACGCTGCCCTTGATTAAATGAGCGGTTGCCTCAACAAGACTGCAAAAATCATAATTTTGATGTTTCATGTAATATTTTATCTTATATTTGTATTGTTTTAAGGTAAAGTTCAGTTTCGTTGCAGTTTGATGTAAGTCTATTGCTATGGACTGAAGACGCGATTATTAGCCGCACCCGCCGCGGCATAGTAAAGAAAAGGGAAGTAGGTTATCTTCATACAAATGCACCGCGCGCGGCTTATATGTGTGCGCCATAGTATCTATGCGTCGACGCACGCACACTTTAACAAAATTTCGACCCGTTTCTCAGTGCGCCAATCGGGGCTAACACTGCACGAGGTTCGCGCGCGCTTCACTTTTCGGCTCTGTTAAATGAATGAAAAATGTCGGATAATCGTAAATGCTGTGTGTTTGGGTGTCTTAATAATTCATCGATTCCAGATCTGTCTCTGCTCAGATTACCTATTGAACAGGAAAGATAAGCTAGACACTTATTCTAGCATAATTATAATTTGTACTTGATGATGAGATACCTACTTACTTATTTTTTGTTTGTGTTAGTTTCCTATCAGTATCACATAGGAAGTAGGTAGGCCCAATTTCGTACTAGAATGTATTAAGTAGGTAGTTTTGATCTGGCATTGATTTGCCGCTATTGTTTGTTTACGTTTAGTTATGATTATGTCGATTTCTCAGTATTGTAGGTAGGTATAGTAACTAAGTACCTACCTACTTACAATTGTAAAATCGTAATTTAAAATAAGTAATTGACTGTGGTCTATCGATTTATGTGGTTAACTAAAGGTAAACAATCTTGGTATGTAAGCTGCGCCTAATATCAATTATATCGCGGATTGGGAAGAAGATGGCCTACTTCTCTTTTTTTATACTATGGCCGCGGTGACGAAGCCTGCCGCCGCGGCTGCTGCGGGACCGCGTCTGCGCCCGCCCATGCAGCAGGAGCCGCAAACAATCGCACACGCCGCAGGCGTAAAACGCGTATTTTTTACATAGGAACATATCTGTATTCTAGTTTTCTAATAAAATACTATGATGATGTTACATTTAAATTACATTTTCAATTTTTGTGTTTGAGAAGTTACACATTTAGGAGCGATAATTGTTGTAACAATTATAATGTAGCTACTAAACAAGCTAATTGCCGTTAACATTAAGAAATTAGCTATAACATAATTGGGATGATGACGGTGACGGTGTATGAAAATTAAAAATCTATTTAGTCCGTAAGTTAGGTAATGAAAAAATATTAGACACGTATTTTTTATTTTGTTGAATAATAAAATCATACTTAAGTTCAGGAGTGGGGGGCTAAAACGTCATTGCTATGTATAAAATGTATATAGAAGTGACGCCACGCGACATTTCAAATCAATACATCGTCGAAAGTATTTGTTTATGTAAGAAAATAAAAAATACGTGTCTAATGATTTAAAATACCTATATATTTATATATGTATCTGGTAGATTTATATAATACCTATATATATATATGGTAGATACCAGACGGACATTAAAATAAAAATTAATCATCTACCCTATTATCTATCATCCTTTTTTAAAGAACTTCAACTTACTTAGTATTATACATATCGGTTCTTTCAGAGATGTAATCGAAAACCGTTCTTTCAGTTCCAGGATAATACTGATATGAAGTGCTCTCTCGTTTCACTATGTAATTCTTCAATTCTCTGTCCAAAGTATACAAGCTGGGCGATCGGCTTCTCTGAAATATTGACAATGTAATTACAGTGAAGAAGTTTACAGGCAAATTCAAATTTCGACGAGAAACAACATGAACTGCTTGGTCAAATTGGCAGTATAGTAAGGAATAAAACATTTCGAAATAGAATTGTGTAACGCGGCAATTCGATTTTGGTTTGTGTCGGACGCACGCGCGCAACTCTAGTGGCAACACGGCCACCTCACTATTTTTTTCTCCCCGCTTCCCCGCCACTGACCGCTTGACGCTTGCGTGGAAGCGACACGCTGACCAACAACACAGACAGAACAACGAGTCCCACACGGGAGCCGTAACGCACGCGCTCCATATTTGTGCCGCGAAATATTTGAGTTATTTGTATTATTGTGCAACCTTGTTTATATTTAAATTTTAATCCAATATATAGAGTTTATCAGTAATTCATGTGTCAAATCAAACCTCATTTCACGCCCCTGAGTACCCTACCCACCTAATAGACATTTCAAGTTATTAACGTGACGCCCAACTTGCGGCTACGAACGAATTGTGTATAAAAACTCAAAGTTACAACAAGTTCTAGTGTTCCTATCGTGCAAACACGTATTGTGAACTCTCTCCTATAGTGCAATCATACGAAAACTATTGTATAACCAGTGCAAATACGAAAGTAAACACTTGGGCGAGTCCATTTTCCGCGTGCCGCCGGCGCCGGTTGCGTCTGTAGGTATATACCTACCGACTCGTTGAAGCTACCATCCTCAAAAGCATCACCCGTGGTCTTCGAGCGAGTAACAGTTGGAATTGCCTGTTATCATGCCGCCAAAGAGAAGAACTGGAAGAGATGAGGAATCGGAAACCGACACAGATGTCATAATGAACAGAACCGTGATTTCGTCCCCGAATATTACAATGTCGGAGGAAATGTTAAATGCCCTTGTCTACAACATCACTAGGAGTCAATTGGAATCAAACAGAGTTCTGATTGAGAGTATTTTGGCGGGAAACAAAAACCTGTTGATTACGACATCGCCACGCGCCGAAGTCGCCGACGCACATACGCATGCGCCGCGCGCAGGAAACTTCGCGAAATGCACGGCGCGATAAATCCGGATACTTAGATCCGGATGAACGCGGATGAGCTTGAAGCATTTATCGAGGCCATCGAAGTCTACCGCGACTGCACCAACGTCAGCGGCGACCACGCGCTGCGCGGCCTACCAATGCTGCTGGTGGGCGAGGCCGACCATACAACGACTTCGAGGGATGTTTGGAGTGCCGCGACTCGGTTATAAATTATTTCGAGACATTTTCGCAACCGAACAAAATAGTGAACGGGCCGACGTATTTATTTGTAAAGTGCGCACTTGTTATCAAAATTACCGTACGTATAGTCCATCTGTTTAGGTAATTAACTAAAGGTAAACAAAGAAAACCACGTGACACAGAGGTACTTAACCTACTATTACTTCAAATATTTCTCGTGTTTTAATTTTAACTAAATTCACTTTAAAATCGTTCATTTGTCATACACACACATACAAGTACAAATGCCTAAATCGTACAAGAGCCTAGCCTATGGGTCTATTTCTCACTGCGAGGACCGCCCTGAGGACACGGTGGAACACACCGTAGCGGAATGCCCTGCGTGGGCTGAGCACCGCCGTGCCCTCAGGGAAGTGATCGGCGATGGCGACCTCTCGCGTCCGGGCCTAGTGCAGGCCATGATGCGGAGCGAGGGGGACTGGGATGCCGTCTCCTCCTTTTGCGAAGCAGTCATGCTAGCTAAGGAGGAGGCGGGACGCGTGAGGCAGCGAAGCGCTGCCTCCTCGCGACCCAGCCATCGCGAAGGACACACCGGGCGTCGGGGATCGCGGGACGATCTCCGGCCACCGTAAGCGCGGGCCTGCGGACGGCGAGCATGGGTGGCTCCCCGTCCGACCAGAAACAGACCCGAGCGTACGGCGCGTCGCGTTCCGCGCGCGCCTCAAAGAGCCATCAGACCACCACAGATGGGGCCCAATAGGGCCGATGCCGATTCGGAGTCGCGGAGAACCTAACGGGTAACCGGGGCTCCGGCTCGACGTGCAGGAGAAGGAACGGGGTGGTTTTTAGTCAGTAAGAGTCTGACACTCCCTTCCGCCTCACCCAGGCGGGAGCAGTCATTCGATGATTTTCCCCCCTTAAAAAAAAAAAAAAAAAAAAATGGGTCTATTTCATTATCATGTTTAAATAGAAACTATTCTGAATCTGATGTACGGATTTCTTTCTTGTACGGATATCTGTCTTTGGGCCAAGTTTCTTCAATATATTTGAACACATTAATTACAAACGATGATTAACCTAAACTTAAATAACTTAATAACAATAACAAAACAAAGAAACAAGTTAAATTCAACAAAATAGGAACGCGAGCGCAAACGACGAGAGAGCTGTCAATGGCGCCTGATTAACCGACTAAACGTAATACACGCTACTTTCATTGTCGCGCTACATCTTCGTTGTACTCTTTAATTTGACAACATTATTTTGCTTCGTTCTTAAAGAAACGTTTTGGATACCTGGAATTTTAGGCTCTTTATGGTGTCTATTGTAATGAAATATTATATTATTTAATAAATGTTATTAAATTAATATCCTCAAGCAGATATATATAATATTTATTAAGAAATAAGTGAAAAGGAACAAAAACATAACATTTAATAGAGAAAACTGTCGTAAAAAGGGAAACAATTTTATTTTCTTTTTAAGTATTTTGAATCATGGAAATGTCAACTATAAAGAACTCTTTTTATGGTTTGTTTACAAATAGTTAACTACCTAAACAGACGGAGTATAGTAGCGGAGGTAATGAAGTTGGACATTGTATACAGGTTGTTAGATCGTAAGATTAGAAAATGCGTGTGTCGTGATTCCGTCGACGGGCTGAAGCAACTCATCACCAAAGTCAGATAAAGTCGAGGAGTCACAGGTAAGTTCCCCCATTCTTAATAACAATACGAGTTCTGTTGACTCGTGCGCCGCACGCCGCGCGTGACCGTTCTGACACAAACCCGAGTCATACCCTTTCGAATACCGTCGGCGAACCCGGAAATTCGAAATCGTCATGTAGCGCGAGTTCTTTAGTAACTTTACGTGGTGCCGTGTTGGGTCAGGCCTCCGCGTCTAAAGTAGTATTAGTGACGTACGAAAACGTACGCGACCGAAGTGTTGTTATTGTAAACTTTTCGGGCTTTCAGTTGATAACTGTCGTATTATGAAGGAAGATACTTCTAGTAATAATAATAACACTCAGTTACGTTGCTACGGATGTGGCCAGCTGGGAGTAGTGGTAGTGCGCTCAAAATACGATAAGTGTAAAAGTACAGCCGACTCAAGTAAAGTCAGTTATTTATTTCAATTAGACTGCTACTGACCGCTTGACGCTTGCGTGGAAGCGACACACTGACACAGAACAACGAGTCCCACACCGGAGCCGTGACGCAAGCGCTCCATTTATTTCAATTAGACCGGGAAGGCACTTTTGAACGTCAAAACAAAATATTTAAATATTAAATAATAAGAAAAACACTTTACCAAACAACGGTAGGTTTTTCCTAACATACATAATGTTTTCATAAATAAATTGACATGAAACGGTCATAATATTGATCTCCATAAACTTTTCTCTGAGAGATTCGCGACGACCTAGGTTGTAGATAGGTCTGACGGCGCGCTTTTGTAAGATAAAGATAGACTCAATGTCAGCAGCGTGTCCCCACAGTAAAATGCCATACGACATAATGCTATGGAAGTAACTGAAGTACACTAGTCTTGCCGTGTCTATGTCGGTTAACTGTCGGATCTTCCAGACAGCATAAGCTGCAGAGCTTAATTGTCCCACTAAAGATGTAATATGAGGACCCCATTGCAATTTGTCATCTACAGTAATTCCCAGGAATGTAGTCTCCTTTACAAATCCTAATTTCCGACTATTTAATAATATGTCACATTCGTTACTTCTAACATTTGGCAAAACAAATCTAATACATTTTGTTTTCTTAACGTTTAGCACTAAGTTATAAAGCACTAAGTAAAGTAGATTTTTACAGTACTTAAAATAAAAACACGTTTAGATTAAAATTAAAAACTTTTATTTTGACATCCCAAATTAAATTTAATGATATAAATATTGACAAATCTTTTATCTAATTTCAGTTCATTATTTCAAAACAATACAATTATACTTATTTTTATATGCCAACTTGGAAGTCTGTGCGTTTTATGTGGAGGCTCACCGTGTTGTACCGCTTGTGCTTTGCCATTGTTTTAATGTTGTTTTTAAGTTTTTAATTGTGGCCACTAGTAAACTATGCTGCCGGAGTTTTGTGTCCACCAGTGGTCAGTGGAAGGCAACTGTATCTTTGTGGGTTCGCATCAAAATAAATCAGAGCTCAGCAAGATTGTCACTAGAATAGTGCCTGTCTGGTTTGGCAGCCCGAAAATGTGTAATACTCAGTTAATTAAAAAAAGAGTAAATATAAAAAATGCTTCTTAACATTTTGTTCATATTTACATAAATCTTATATCTTAATCTCTTATAAATGCATTTTTACATTTTGTTTTGTATTTACATTTACTATTAGATCTATACATTTTTTTAATCACAACTTTTCACACACATACGCACACACACACACACACATATTCTGCAGAATTTATTTTATCTATTTAATTTCATATTTAAATTTATTTTCTTTTCCTTATTGAGGGGTGGTACCGCCGTCCATGAGTCACTACAGGGTGCCACCTGAAAATCAGTGTTGGGCAGGAACGCTCAAAAATATGCTGAGGTGGAGGCCCTTTTGGCATGTGCACATGCACTACAATATTACTATGTATTATCTTATTTATATTATGTTTTTTTTGTATATTTAATTTCTCTTTAGATCAAAAACTTATTGCATTTGTTTCGTATTGTATGTATGTACATTATTTTCTTATTTTTTGATGATTTTTGTTATTTTGTTTACGCTTTTATGTTTGTTATTAAATTATGTATTTATGTAAGTATCTGTATTTACATTTTTCTTAATCTTTGTTTGTGTGCCATTTGTCAAATAAATGCTTTTTCTTTCTTTCTACTTACATTGTAGGCGCGAGTGATGACGATTCGCAACCGCTGATAGGTATTAAGGTCGTTGACCGTAAGGGTGTGGCCATACTGGACACAGGGGCCACACATTCTATCGCGAGCATGCTGCACGCTTTGCTCGTGAATGCTGGCGTGATATTTAGGATGGTCGTACGTACCGTAGGTCTTGCTGACGGGTGTCAGCAGAAACGTAGCGCGCTTGAGTGTGACGTCGACGTCACATTAGGAAAACGCGTGATACCCACTACGTTTATGGTGCTACCGAATGCACAAACGAGGACAATGTTAGGTAGGAATTTTATCACGAAAGCGAATATCCTGTTGGAGTTACCAACGGTGAAGCTGGCGTTTTAACGACGAGTGGATGATGAGGGCACCGCGCCGACGGCTAACCAGAGGGTACGGTCAAACGCCTCACTGTTGGATGTAGCCGACCGCTCCGCGAAGGAAGAACCCTCGACCAATTACACCCGGTGTCGTTTAAAGTCTGACGCGAGCCGTTATTGTTTGTCATCTAGAGCTTCAATGCAGGGGGAGAACGGCCTACTGTTATGAATTTTCCTCCGCACTTACGACGTACGTCAAAGGCTGACGACGCTCGTAAAGTTCGTAAAAAGAACCGAGTTAGTGCGAAACGTAGCTCTAGAAACAAACGTCACCCTGCGCCGGAATATTCCGCAGGAGCTGGTGGCCTGCTTCTTCTAAAAACCCAGGGTATTGACAATGCGCCCCGTGGACAGACTCCGAAGTCTAAACCACGTCGTAAATTAGGTAGTGGCGAGAATTCGGGTAAGAACCGCGTTTCACAGTTGACTCCTTTCGTAGGCGATGTGCTGGTTCTGCCTGTTATTGAAAAGCGTAGGCGCGGAAGACCCAAGCGATTTCTAGATTAACCAAGACGCGAGGACGCTATGTCTAGGTCAGAGGGGGAGGATGTAACGCGGCAATTCGATTTTGGTTTGTGTCGGACGCACGCGCGGAACTCTAGTGGCAACACAGCCACCTTACTATTACGTAATAGCCGTGAAACACGCGCTCCATATTTGTACCTTGAGTTTTGTATTATTGTGCAACCTTGTATATATTTAAAGTTAAAGTTTACTCCAATATATACAGTTAACAGTCATTCATGTGTCAAACCTCTTTTCACGGTCTTTAGTTAGTTATTAGTGGGTTCTCAGGGGAGAACCACTAAGACATCTCAAGGTATTAAAATTGTCTATTTAACACAAATGTGTGAGAGAGCTAAATTTAAAAGCAAGTACTTTTAATAAACTACATTTTTTTTAAGAGAAACCTAGCTAGATCGATTTATCGCCCCCGAAACCACGTAAGTACAAAGTTCAAAGAAAACTGTTGGAGCCATCTCCGACATCGTTATTACATCTCTTTACTATTTATATATAAAGCGGAAGAATTTTGTTTTGTTTGTTTGTTTGCTTTTTTAAACGCGCTAATCTCCAGAACTGGTCCAATTTAAATTATTATTTTGTGTTGGATAGTGCATTTATCGAGGAATACTATAAAACATCACGCTGCGAACAAAGGAGCTGTGCAGAGTGGGTGAAACCACGCGAAACTAGCTAGTAATTATATACACGAATTGCTCGTTTAAAGGTATAAGATAGATAATAAGAATAACTTACACCTTCATCAAATTGAAAACGTCCTCTGCTTAAATCTGCTTGTCTTCTCTGTGCGTATTCCAATTGGCTAACACTTCGACTTGAAAAAGCCGGATCATTACTTGACCCAGTATTTTGATTCGTTGATACATATCTGGATGTACCTGTTTGTCTGCTTGGAAATCCAGAGGCAACAGAGTTACTATATGCTTCTAGTTCAGCACTATAGACTGAGGAACCAGCTATTGAAGCGACATCTCTTGACGGTCCAGGGTCTATATAAGGTTCACTGGCTATTGATTGATTACTAGCTCTTCTTGGAAGCGTGACTCTTGTGAGAGTTACTGTTGATGTTTGACGCTCGGGTGGTGAACCAGACGTTGTATTTTGATTAGGAGGGGATCGTGGTATTTCGCCACGAGCTGTTGAAGGTCCAGCTTCGGCTGATGAAGTAGTTGTTGGAGTTGTTGATGCATTTGTCGTTCCTGATCTAGGGGTTGTTCTTCCAGAAGGGCCTGCAGTTGGGGAGCGTGAGTTACGACCAGTTCCCTGAAACGTAAAGATATTAATTGTAATTTTAAGAAACAGGATTCTGAAACTGCTTAAAAAGATTTCACCGACCTCGACACCTAACAGTAAAAATAAAGCGTTAGTTTAGGTGCTACTTCACGTCAAATAACTTTTAGTTATAGATGACTAACTTCTGCCCGCGACTTCGTACGCGCAATCCCGATATTTCCCGTTCCCGTTCTTGATTTTCGGTAAAAAGTAAAAAAAAGAATTGGGTAAAAAGTATCCTATGTCCGTCTCCTGGTTCTAAGCTACCTCCCCACCAATTTTCATCCAAATTAATTAAGCCATTCTTGAGTTATAAATAGTGTAACTAACACGACTTTCTTTTATATATATAGATTTAGAGGTGGTCGGTAAAACAGCCACAAGGCAGCACAGCAAGCTTCATAACTTATTAAAGTTGGACTAGTTACATAACTAGGTGGAAATTGATCTTACTTGGATCCCATGGCACCGTTGCGGTGCTGAGCAGGATTATCATTATTAAGTTCAGATTTACTCACAGATCCTTCTGGTGTAGGTTCTGCTTGCTTGTTTTGAGAATCTTGCCCCTGTTTGTTATCTTTAGGTGGAGCCATCTATACAATTGCAATTGTCGTGTTATGAAAAAGTAATGTGTTTACAATTTTTGTGCCCCTTTTCTCCCTAGGAAACCATAGTTTGTAAAAAGCTGCTCTATAGGACCGAAGCCAAAAATTATTTGGTGACTTTCTGAATTTGACTTAGCCACCAATCTATTCGATCTTATCGATGAAACTATCAATCTTTTCATGAAAACTGAATAGTAAACTACATCAAAATGTAACATCATTGCTTTTAATTATTCCTCAGATGGGTGGTTAACACAGTCAGTTTTAATCGTGTTTTTACTATGAAAAGAACCTAAAAACACTAGCTCCTATACATCATATTTTTATTGAGATACATGTTACCTTGAAAGATCCTCATAACTATCAATGGTGTATCAAACAACAATTTGGCGAAGTATCACAATGTAAATCATTTTTAACAAAATTAGTTTAGTTTTAGTTTTCTTTTCACAAATATAAATAAAGCAATGGTACTCAACGTTTTTATATCTACATATTTAAATTCACGTAACCACACCACGCAAACTTTTCCAAGTTTGATTGTTGCGTCAAAATGACAATACTTTTGGGTTTTTGTTTATGGAAATGGAAATACTAAATGTTTGGAACTCTTTCAATAATACTAAGAGGAGTGGTAACGATAGTTATTTATCATCATCATCAACCAAGTGTGGGAAAATGTCGCGGAGAATCTAACGGGTAACCGGGGCTCCGGCTCGACGTGCAGGAGACGGAACGGGGTGGATTTTAGTCAGTAAGAGTCGGACACTCCCTCCCGCCTCACCCAGGCGGGAGCAGTCATTCGATGATTTTCCCCCCTAAAAAAAAGGGTGTGGCAGCATTTCTTAATATTGTATGGTCATCAGATCAGTCTTTTATCAGGAAGGAGATGAAATTCCTATTACTAAAGACTCAAACAAACAAATGAGCACGTTAACTAAAATCGATTAATAATAATAATAGGAATCGGTAAGTAGGTTTAAAGTGTGGGTGAGCCACGCTTCGGCTCGACCGACGTGATACCACGGCCTCACAGAAAGCCAACGTGAAATAACGCTTGCGTTGTGTTTCGTTGTCTGAGTGATGTTACTAGTTATCTATATCAATTACACCTCCCCTATTTCAAATCTCTCCAATCTTTGAATCTCTAACAATCCTCATAAGGCCGGTACCTAACACATTTATAAGGCCCCTGGTGTTTCAGGTGCCCATGCATGAGCCACGCCAATTGCCTACCATTAGATGATCCGTCTGCTCGTTTACCGGCTTATGGCATAAAATAAAAAATAGGATAAAAAGCGAATGTGAAATGAAGCGACAGTGAATTCTCATCCAATATAATGTATTAATAAACAGACAAAATCAGTTTTAGTACATGTTCCCATTTACATGAAGTTCCGCTCTAGTGCTAGGGTTCCCATTATCATCGTCACAGGAATTTCCTGACTGTTGACACTCATCTTGATAATCGGTTTGTCTTGGTGTGGTCTTCACAACATCACCACAGGAATCCATACCTTGTCTTAAATCATTTGATATTGCCATAAGAGTCTTTACAAGTGGTGATTTCATGATTTCACTATCCACTTTGTCGTTTTTTTGGGCACCCTTGTAATAATTGTTTTCTCTATCTCCTTGTAAGTTACCAGCATTGTCTCCTCTATAAGCGTTATTGCCCAAATTATTATTTTCTCTATTATTACCCCTGTAATTATTATCGCCCCTATTGTTGCCCCTATCGTTATTATCACCTCTATTATAGTCAATATTGCCCCTGTTGGAGCCTCTATTGTAGTTATTGTCTCCCCTGTTATTGTTGGCTCCTCTATTGTTGTTGTTGCCGTAGTTATTGTCTCCTCTGTTGTTATTATTGTTTCCGAAATTATTGTCTCCTCTATTGTTATTGTTGTAGTTATTGTTGTTATTGGCAGCCCTATTATTGTAATTGTTGTTGTAGTCATTGTCTCCTCTGTTGTTATTGTTGTAGTTGTTGTTGTTATTAGCAGCCCTGTTGTTGTAATTGTTTCCATAGTTATTGTCTCCTCTGTTGTTGTTGTTGTTGTTGTTGTTATTGGCAGCCCTGTTGTAATTGTTTCCGTAGTCATTGTCTCCTCTGTTATTATTGTTTCCGTAGTCATTATCTCCTCTATTGGAATTCCTGATGTAGTTAACAAGTCCCCTATTGTTATTGTTTGCCCTGTTGTTGTAGTTGTTGTTGTTGGCAGCCCTGTTGTTGTTATTGTTTGCGTAGTCATTGTCTCCTCTGTTGTTATTGTTGGCAGCCCTATTATTGTAATTGTTGTTGTAGTCATTATCTCCTCTGTTGTTATTGTTGTAGTTGTTGTTGTTGTTGGCAGCCCTGTTGTTGTAATTATTTTCGTTATCATTGTCTCCTCTGTTGTTGTTATTGTTATTGGCAGCCCTGTTATTGTTATTGTTAGCATAGTCATTATCTCCTCTGTTGTTGTTGTTGTTGTTGTTGTTGTTGTTGTTGTTGTTGGCAGCCCTGTTATTGTTATTGTTTGCATAGTCATTATCTCCTCTGTTGTTGTTGTTGTTGTTGTTGGCAGCCCTGTTGTTGTTATTATTGTTGTAGTCATTGTCTCCTCTGTTGTTATTGTTGGCAGCCCTATTATTGTAATTGTTGTTGTAGTCATTATCTCCTCTGTTGTTATTGTTGTAGTTGTTGTTGTTATTGGCGGCCCTGTTGTTGTAATTGTTTTCGTAGTCATTATCTCCTCTGTTGGAATTCCTGATGTAGTTAACAAGTCCCCTATTGTTATTGTTCGCCCTGTTGTTGTAGTTGTTGTTGTTGGCAGCCCTGTTATTGTTATTGTTTGCATAGTCATTATCTCCTCTGTTGTTGTTGTTGTTGTTGTTGGCAGCCCTGTTGTTATTATTTTCGTAGTCATTGTTTCCTCTGTTGTTATTGTTGTAGTTATTGTTGTTATTGGCAGCCCTGTTGTTGTTATTGTTTGCGTCGTCATTATCTCCTCTGTTGTTGTTATTGGCAGCCCTGTTGTTGTTATTATTTTCATAGTCATTGTCTCCTCTGTTGTTATTGTTGTAGTTATTGTTGTTGTTGGCAGCCCTGTTGTTGTTATTATTTTCATAGTCATTGTCTCCTCTGTTGTTATTGTTGTAGTTATTGTTGTTGTTGGCAGCCCTGTTGTTGTTATTATTTTCGTAGTCATTGTCTCCTCTGTTGTTATTGTTGTAGTTATTGTTGTTGTTGGCAGCCCTGTTGTTGTTATTATTTTCATAGTCATTGTCTCCTCTGTTGTTATTGTTGTAGTTATTGTTGTTGTTGGCAGCCCTATTGTTGTTATTATTTTCGTAGTCATTATCTCCTCTGTTGTTATTGTTGTAGTTGTTGTTATTGGCAGCCCTGTTGTTATTATTGTTTCCGTAGTCATTATCTCCTCTGTTGGAATTCCTGATGTAGTTAACAAGTCCCCTATTGTTATTGTTTGCCCTGTTGTTGTAGTTGTTGTTGTTGGCAGCCCTGTTGTTGTTATTATTGTTGTAGTCATTATCTCCTCTGTTGTTATTGTTGTAGTTATTGTTGTTGGCAGCCCTGTTGTTGTTATTATTTTCGTAGTCATTGTCTCCTCTGTTGTTATTGTTGTTGTTATTGGCAGCCCTGTTGTTGTTATTATTTTCATAGTCATTGTCTCCTCTATTGTTATTGTTGTAGTTATTGTTGTTGTTGGCGGCCCTGTTGTTGTTATTATTTTCGTAGTCATTGTCTCCTCTGTTGTTATTGTTGTTGTTATTGGCAGCCCTGTTGTTGTTATTATTTTCATAGTCATTGTCTCCTCTATTGTTATTGTTGTAGTTATTGTTGTTGTTGGCAGCCCTGTTGTTGTTATTATTTTCGTAGTCATTGTCTCCTCTATTGTTATTGTTGTAGTTGTTGTTGTTGGCGGCCCTGTTGTTATTATTGTTTCCGTAGTCATTATCTCCTCTGTTGGAATTCCTGATGTAGTTAACAAGTTCCCTATTGTTATTGTTTGCCCTGTTGTTGTAGTTGTTGTTGTTGGCAGCCCTGTTGTTGTTATTATTGTTGTAGTCATTGTCTCCTCTGTTGTTATTGTTGTTGTTGGCAGCCCTGTTGTTGTTATTGTTTGCGTAGTCATTGTCTCCTCTGTTGTTATTGTTGGCAGCCCTATTATTGTAATTGTTGTTGTAGTCATTGTCTCCTCTGTTGTTGTTATTGTTATTGGCAGCCCTGTTATTGTTATTGTTTGCATAGTCATTATCTCCTCTGTTGTTATTGTTGTTGTTGGCAGCCCTGTTATTGTTGTTGTTTGCATAGTCATTGTCTCCTCTGTTGTTATTGTTGTTGTTGGCAGCCCTGTTGTTATTATTATTTTCATAGTCATTGTCTCCTCTGTTGTTATTGTTGTAGTTATTGTTGTTGGCAGCCCTGTTGTTGTTATTATTTTCGTAGTCATTGTCTCCTCTGTTGTTATTGTTGTTGTTGGCAGCCCTGTTGTTATTATTGTTTCCGTAGTCATTATCTCCTCTGTTGGAATTCCTGATGTAGTTAACAAGTCCCCTATTGTTATTGTTTGCCCTGTTGTTGTAGTTGTTGTTGTTGGCAGCCCTGTTGTTGTTATTATTGTTGTAGTCATTATCTCCTCTGTTGTTATTGTTGTAGTTATTGTTGTTGGCAGCCCTGTTGTTGTTATTATTTTCGTAGTCATTGTCTCCTCTGTTGTTATTGTTGTTGTTATTGGCAGCCCTGTTGTTGTTATTATTTTCATAGTCATTGTCTCCTCTATTGTTATTGTTGTAGTTATTGTTGTTGTTGGCGGCCCTGTTGTTGTTATTATTTTCATAGTCATTGTCTCCTCTATTGTTATTGTTGTAGTTATTGTTGTTATTGGCAGCCCTGTTGTTGTTATTATTTTCATAGTCATTGTCTCCTCTATTGTTATTGTTGTAGTTATTGTTGTTGTTGGCGGCCCTGTTGTTGTTATTAT